ACAGATATTTCGCTTGAATTAAATCTCAAATAATTTGATTCTTTGAACAAACAAAGACGATGGTTTCCATTGCTGTTGCTAGCTTAGCAGTAGTTTTTCACAGTATCCACTTTGTCGTAATACCAACAAAAAAGTACCTTTCCATTGGGTACTTTGAGCCATTTAACTGTTTTCAATTTCACTATTGTATTTCTATGATTTCCGTCGAAACGGTAGAAATGTGTGCTAAAAGCTCTTAACCACATTGGCTCACGTTTCAAATGACTTTCTATAATTCATTGACATCGGCGGTGGTGGACAGAATTGAAACGACGGTCTGCAGCGAAAGCTTTAAATGTTCTGGGAATTTTACTTCCTTGACGGTGTGCCACATTGCTAATCTGAAAAGGTTTAGGTAGCTGGTAGCAGGGCATGTGGTGACGATGCGGTGGTATTGGAATCGGCAATTCATAACACTTAAATGCAAACAGCAGCAGCAGCAACAACAACAAGATGTGTTACGGTTGGAATGATTGAGGAAAATGTTAATGTTGTAAATTTCTTTGGGACATGGGGAAGTAAATGTCAGATGTGCCCCCTCCCCAAAAGAACTACTGATGCGGCTAAGGCAAAGTTGTAGAACACTTTTACAAGTGGCTCCTTGATTGCCCACGCAAGAGAAATTTTATATTTTAGCATCGAAGGGCCAGCCATGTGTTTCGATGTTATACTGCCCATCGAAACAGAGACTCTTCCAAAAATCCTCCTCAATCATATCATGTGCATGTGGTCTCTTAACACTTGAATAATTATCATGTATTGCTGGACATAATGTCCAATGTCGTTCCAGTTCCTGTTCTATGTGCGGTGCAGGTCTCTTTTTTTTTTTTTGTTAGCAAAGTGTTTCTTTTGGAATTTCTGTTTTCCATTCCTCCTCGTTCTTCCTTTTATAATGAAAAGAAACAAGTAAAATAAAACATCAACAATGCTGGTGCTTCTGGAGCATGTGTGTTCGGTGTGCGTAGGTGTGTGTCGAAATGGAATTAAATCTTCTTGCCGGGAGTATGAATCACAGACAGCCCCATATGAGTGTTAAAATCCATTTAAATGCAATAAATTCCGTTATAGTGGAATATTGAGTACATGTGTGTAGTGTGTGTGTGTGTGTGTGATTATGCTTTGGTTATTTTCATTTAAAGCCACCCTCAAGGGGAATGTGTGTAATACGCACAAATGTACAGTGGTCAAATGGATAGTCACTCCTAGTGGATGTGTCACTTTCAGCACTAATAGTAATGCATTACCAAAATCCAACATATAAGCATAGTTGCCTTTTTTCTATATTTCCTGTAAGCCAACAAGTAACCTATGAAGTATTTACCGACTCCCACGCAAGTTTTTAAGCACCAATTAATGTTCGTAATAATGGTTGGTTGCCTGGTGTATCAGAAGGTAGAGAGTTCAACCCCCAAATCGACAATTATGAAGTGTTGTTGAATTGTACACAAATGCAACTCTAAGTGTCTACAAATAGACTAATCGTTTATTTTTTTAATTAATTGGTAGTTTTGTAAGTACCTACTTACTGATGCCAAAATATACCAAAAAATCCGCCATTTGGTAATGAGATTTTTTGCTGAGAATTATCAAAAAAGAGTCGAATTCAGACTTTTGTCTTCAGTTGCTTGTAAGTTTTTGGCGTGGTATCCTTACAAAGGAAGAAAAGAATAACAGGTCTTAAAAGAAACGTTCAAGTTAAAACGTTGAACGCATGAAATATATACTTATTAGGCCAAGTGGTAAAGTAAACTTGATGAACCGTTCCCAAATCAAAGACCATAACCTGTTCTCCATTCAAAAAAAATTGAAGACAATAGGCATCGAATCAATCAATCCAAAAAATGAAAATTTAAACTTAATACTCAAATTGTCTTCTTTGAATAGCGAAGAATATAAATTTGTATAAATGTGTGTTCGCCATGCTCAAAAACTAGACGCTTCATTGAAAACATTAAATATAAAACGATGTATTAAAATGTCTCCCTACATTTGAATTAAAACATTTCAACAACAAAAGGGTTTCCCCAAACCACTGTGCCTTTTGTGAGAACTTAAATTACCTTTTGGAATGTTGTGGCAAAGCATACTTTAAGGGGTTGAAGAATCTTGATTTGTACTTCAAAACATTTGCAACAGTTCTCTTCGAAAGAAAAAAAAACGTTAGGGGCGATTTTATAAATCCCTCTGAACGGGTTATGTTGCTATTCTCCAAATGGGGGGTGGTATCTTTCTAAACAATTTAATATCATATCAAGACACTTGCGTGTCAATTGCAGTGTTGTTCGGGCCATAAACCGGGCCAATATTTTCATTTGAAGAGAAATCTATTCCAATCGAAATGTTTCGTTGTCTCCTCCTCTTTTTCTTCTTCTTCGGCTTTGGGCAAAGCAAATGAAATGGAAATGACTTGAAATTTAAGGGACTGGCAGTGGCACTGGGCAAACAAATGGAAGGATGTCTCAAACATTCCATGCACCCCGTCCTTGCCGATGATGTGCACAAATCATCAGAAGAGTGCAAAATAATTATGGCGAAACGAGATGAAAACGAAGTGCATCGCTGCATTTAGCATGGCAAGTGTTATTAGGCTAATGACTGCTACTTGAAAAGGAGCCAGCGTAACTTGCCCGACCGAGAAGACGTCGTTGCCAGCTTAGAAGTTACTTTTACGCTTGTCTGTGTTGTTGTTGCTTTCTCATTTCCAGAATAATGAGAATGGTACAACAACAAAAAATCAAGCATCGCAAACAGCAAACGTTTTATTAAAATTTCTTGTGGGAGTGCTAAGTTGTTTGTTTTCTGCCTCTTTATTTTCTGCTTTGTGCCCGAGCTGATTTCTAAATGAATATCTTGAGAAGAGGCAATTATCCAGTCACTGGGGTAACTTCTTGGAATAGGCTATACCCAGTTTTACTTACTTTAATTATTGTTATTCTTTTTTTGTTTGGTTTTGAGAGAAATGATGATGGTTAGAATGGTTGATGATTTGTTGGTGGCTACAGTGGGTTGGTTGTTTGCAGACAACAAACAAAAACCAAAAAGATTTTCTCTGTGGCGTATTAGTAATACGTCATTGGGACATAAGTCATTCGCCAATTTGTACGGAGCCGAAACATTTACGGTCCATAGCTTATCTAAGGTGTACAAAGGTTACATAACAAATCAAAGCCAAATTTGTGTTATTAAAAATATGACCGACGTAAATTAAAAATAAATTGAACCATGTCCGTCCATGATTGTTTTCTACTTGAGGTAAGCCTGGGCACATCCATCGCTATTATGATGGTAGACTTATCTCGAACAGAGATAAAAAACACATTTGTGTCAACTCTTTGCCTTCCACCTCAATTCGTATTAATGTCAACGTAATTACAAGAAATCGACTTAAGTCTGTTAGCTCCCCACGAAACTATCTGTTAGACACGAAACAAGTATATGGGTTAACTTCTAATATTTCTGCTCAACCCATTGTGCAGACAATTAGTTGAGCACATTTTACCTGGGGCGGATTGCTTTACACGCGTATTAATGGAGACAACCGCAAATTCCAAACAGGCACACATTTCACCTACCCGCGAGTGTGTCAGTGTGCGTGTGTCTCTATGTATCAATGTCACTGCTGAAGCAAACAGACAAACAAACCAACAAATAGCGGAGACTATTGCTTGCAGTGGACAAATAAGAAGAATGCCATTGTTAGGAAATTTGATTCACAGCCTGGATTCGTAACACAAACCTGGCATAGACAATAATTTATGGCCTGAAAATGAGGTAGTTGGGTGGGAGGCAGCTCCCGCTCCTTGAGTCGCTCGACACAAGAAACAAAATGTGACAACCGCACAGCCAACAACTTATAACAAATATTTCTTCTTCTGCCCTTCTCCTTTCGCTTGGGTAAGTCAGTCAGTCCATGGAGAAAACGCTTGTGTGTGATTGTGTGTGTGTGTGTGTTCGCGACTCTTCGGGTGAGTTGTTGTGTATGGGTCTAGGCCAGGGACTGGGCATGCTAAATGACAATAAAAACCACAAACTTCATTCATATCCATACACCGGCGATGAGGAATACAAACTACTTGGTAAACTTTAGCAAACATCATAGACCCAAGAGAGAGATGGAGAGAGAGAGAGGACGAGAGAGTTTGTCTCAATGTGTGTTCGTGTTTGTCTATGTGTATTTGTGCCTGGCTTGTATGAAGTTAATGAATATGCATCAGCTGATATTTATTCACTAACCCCGACAAAGTTCATGGCGGAAAGTTCACAAAGTTTATTCTTTTTGCGCTCATAAAATGCAAAACAGTCATAACTGGCAGATTTTTCTTCCGTTCTTTTTTTGTTCATTTCACCAAGAAAAAGTTGCACAATCATGAATCATTTGTGGGGGAGAGGTTAGCTAGCATTCATTGACTCGAAGAGAAGATCCACTGAAAGTGGAAGGTGATGAAGAAATGATGCAAAAATGTGGCACTGATGTTGAAGAAATTCTTATTGCACAACGAGTGGATGTGAACAGCGAGGACATCTTAATTAGTTTTGATTGAAATCAGTCGTGGCATTCTTATAACTGTCGAAGCGGGCGAAATGTACTTAGTTATCGATTTCATGTCAAAATTATTAGTAATATCATTAAAAACATATTTTGACAACTGGCTTTTGCCGAGTTTGGTCCGTAACTGTAACAAAAATAGTTAGAGAGTCCCAATACTGGTATACCTAGTGGTAGCTATTGTATTGATACGTATGAGTAATATTCATGGGATATGGGAATCCATACGTCTATGTGCACTTGGAAAAGTTGTTTTCTGAACGCAATGTGAATCCATCATCCATCTTGAATTAAGGTATATGCCAATATTCTGATGAATTCAAAACTAAGACTTAATGCAATTTTTTTAATTTTTTTTAAGTTTTTAAATTGAATTCTAAATTAATTTTAAATATTTTCCCAATTTTCATTTCAGCTCAAGTTTCTAAACATGCAGACAATCAATATGTCGGTTTTTTCTATATCACCTGGCCATGCTAGGAATGGCTAAACCAAATTGATTTTTATTTTATTTGACAAAAGACAACAACAAAATACAATAATATTTCGCCAAACGAACAGGGTCATGTCTATAAGGGGTTCGCTGTTAACCTATGAGAACAATAACGACATCGTCACAAAAACTAAGAAACGCTCATCTATTCTACATTCGAAACATTTCAATAGCAGCATCTCGTCGACGGCTACATACGAGTCTATGGGTAAAACTGTGCCATCCAGTCTAAATTCGAGCATTTCGAATTCGGTTTTAACCAGCGGCAGCAGCCAAAGCCAAAGTGGTAACCATCACCAGCTTCCGACGCATCCGAATTTCCAGGGGAATCATTTGCCCGGGAAGTACATGAACTCCAAAAGAAAACATGCCAAATACAACAACATGTATTCCAACATGTATCCCGATCACAACAACTATTTGCACTTGAACTCGCTGTGGTCCATTTGGTATGGCGTTCTACTGACGTTGTTCCAGGGCTATTTGGCCGTGCACGGGGCATATCGATTTCTGGGTAAGACCATTTGAATGCGAACAATTAATCCATAACATTTTCAACATTGTTTTTCTCCTCTTTTTGATTTGCAGGCTGCTCTCTGATATCATGGAAAATAGAGCCGGTGGCTGAGCTTAATTTGCAAATTATTTTATCCGGTGTGGTTTTTATTCTGCTGCCATTCTTCTTCACTTCCGCCGTATTCAAAGTAAGTAAAAACAGCGAATTGAAAAAGTCAATATGAATGAATTTAAATAGTTTCAAACTACATACAAATGTACATAAATTTGAATTATTTTATTATGTTAAAATAAAAAGCGTAATATAAATATGTAAAGAACGCTGTGAGGTTGCATAGATATGAAGATTGTGAGGGTCACTAATAATGCTACCATCCCGGATATTAGAATTTTTTTGGAATGTAACTTACTCTGGAGTATGATACAATAACAGGAGGAAGAATCTGCATTAGCGTCCTATGCCTTTCGAAATAAAGCAACCTTTCTGGTTGTTGTTGTAAAGAACGCTGTGAGGTTGCATAGATATAAAGATTGTGAGGGTCACTAATAATGCTGCCAACCCGTATATTAGAATCTTTTTGGAATGTAACTTACTCTGGAGTATGATACAACAACAGGAGGAAGACTCTACATTAGTGTCCTATGCCCTTCGAAATAAAGCAACCTTTCTGGTTGTTCTATGCTCTAGAGCAACGCACAAGCAATCATTATTTCAAAAGAGATTTGTTTTAAATGTTCAATGATTAAATTTAAAAATTTTGAGGTGTAGGCCTTAGATAGTAGTGTTTCCTACGGCTCAACATTGTTTTCTTCGATTGTGTCCGACGTTTGTCAAACTAATGTTTTAAACACGGAAGAATAAACATATTTCTACAACTATTTTTTAGAACAAAATCTTCGGCAACATCCCATTATGCAAATGATTTTGAGAGGTATTTGATATTTTCTTTTCAAATTAACGACAACAGCAATATTGCTGTGACAGTTTTAGCGCCGTTTTTATTTCGCCGATCTTTTTTGATAACTATCAAGACAGTTGCAGAATTCAATTCAGTTGTATTATAAAGTTGGTTTCGAAAGAAAAGCGTAAAATTCAAATTTCAAAGGATGGGGACCAGATTTCTTTGCTGGTGTATTTCACAAAGGCATCTAATGATAAAAATATCCCCAAAATTGCGTTACCTAAAAAGAGTGGAACTCATTTATTCTTGAGCGATATCGCAATGGTTTCAATATTTCTTTCCACTTGAATTCATTTAGTGTTCCGCAATTTTTTGTTGGGTAAGTTACTGTAGAGTATGTTATTGTTAAATAAAAATTCAGAATAGAATTAAAATATACAAAAATGCATGCATCTCAGCCAATGACCAGACTTTGTTATCGTTTAATAGCATTTTCAAAATATTTTTTTAAATCCCCATATAAATTGGACAGTTTCCAGGATTACTTGTTAGAAATCTTCGTTTACATTCAAATTGAAACACCTTTTATAAAATCTCTGTTTGACAAATTTGGTTTTAACAATCTCAACACAAACACAAATCCACACACACACACACACGATGTCCATCACCAGCCGAGTCCAATGGTGACAATTGACCGTAACTAACAATCAATACTATCGATCGGCAAGTGTGGACCTGACTGGCATAACTACAGGCCACCGCCGCCAACTGTGTTCAATTCGTTTTTAGGCTTTAATTAAAAGTTCTCATCACAATGTGTCTCGTCTATCGAACTAGTTTCGGTCTATGTGATTTTCGGTTAGTCTGTCACAAACACACACATACACTCACTCACGCACACCGACATGTCTGTCACCAACTTGTTTGCCTTTGTATTGAGTTTGTTTTAATTTGATTATGTTTATTTTTCCTTATTGCATTTCTCTGAATAGCAGAAGAACGACAAGGAGGAGGCGGAGAATGAGGAGTAAATCTGCTACCAGTCTCTGTCTGGCATTGCATACGATGACAAGTGCATTAAGACGAATATCAGCAGGAAAACAGACTTACGTCAACATCCTTTAATTGTAAAGCCTGGTTGTGGATGTGTAATTTTGGGTGGATGTCCTCCTTTGCGCCATTGGCAACAAGGATGTGTCTGAATAAATTTACTGGATTATGATAAATTTGAAATGTGTCAGCAGCAGATATCCCAGATTATTACACTCCAGTGCAGCACTCAGTCGTTATTTTTTATTCGGTCCACATAACATATTACATGTGATTTCGAAGAAATTTTGAAATATGTTTATAATTCAATGACCTGTTGAATTATGAGCAAAGCGATATTTTCAATTTCATGCCTTTTTAAGGGGTTTCATACATTTACCTCCCACACGAGTATAGTAATACTTTGACATTTTGTAATCATGGTTGGTCTTGAATTCCAGATATTAAAGAACACATAAGACGAACAATTTTGAATAAAGGTTTAGACATAGTTTGGTGAAATGAAATTTGTTTCTAAATCTAAAAGTTTAAATTGTTATTTGAGAATTATACTAAAAATTCGTTGAAAAACAATTGAAGTTTGATTTATTCTATTTTTATTTGATTTTTTTTTTCATTTTTATTCGAATCGTTTCATCTGTAGGTCGAGTTTTCCCATTCACATTTGCTTCTTGGAATTACAAATGAAATAATTCGAATTAAAAATTCAAAATTTTCAATTGATGTTTTAAATTGAATTACAAATTGAATTCTTGCGTTACAACTTAAATGCTTCGAATTGCATCTTGCCAAAAGTGTTATCTATTGGATTTTTAAAGTAGTTCATGCTCCATATTTTTCCACTCGAGAAGTATATAAATTAAAGACTATAATTGGCTATTGTGTTGTATTATTGTGCTCAATGGACCACTGGTGCTGTGGCTAAAGATCAATCTTCAGTTGGTGATTGGGCCACGTAGTGAGCTTTAGAAACGAACAATGACAAACGCGAGGGGTCAAGCCAAAGCAACTCCGAACAGTTAGTCGGCCATGAACTTTTGTTCAAGTTGGTGGCTTTGTGTTCCCCCGATGATTAACATTTCGTAATTTACTGCAAGGCAGATAGTGGTCAGCCGAAACACAAGCTTTTGTCATAAACGTAATCGACTTTGTGTAGAGCACCCCGGCATTCAAACACGAGCCTTCATTTAAGTTCATGAACAGAACAAAAGAGAAACTATATTCACTGATTGCAGTCGAAGAAGACGACCTCAGTTCGGTGCACTTTTTGTTTTATGATGAGCATAAACAAGCAAGCACCCAGCCAGCCAGCCAGCCAGCCAAGCAGCCAGTCAGTCAGTCAGCCGGCTAGTCCAACCGACCAATATTGTCAGTCAGTTTTCCACATCGCTCTCTCTGTTTATATTTGTGTGCATTAATGTGTAATGATGATAACAAATATTATGGCAATCTGGTTAACCGACACAACAAACACCAGCTTCGATATGAACAAGGATGTGTACAGGACCGGGCATTTAAAACAGGAGTTTGTGTGGTGTTCGGGGAAATGTGTTTCATTTTTTGTGCTCGGTGGAACAAGCGGCAAGTGAACCTTAACAGCAAGTGTTATAACAGCACAAACACGCACACACACACACGCAGATATATATGTATAGAAAAAAGACATGTGTATGTGTACACGGAGATGCAATATAAATGAAGCCAAAGCTGAAGCACTCAAATTCATTTCGCAAATAACCACCTCAGAGATCACAGAGAAACACTGACACACACACACACACATGCTCACACATACACTGTCATACAAATCATCAAACATTCCAGCCACTGTCAGCGACATTATCCTATGATGGTCATACAATCACACCAACATGTTTGGGTGTGAGTGTGTGTGAGTGTAGCTGTGTTTAAATAAACTACAGGCGTTCATTTTAAAATTCAAACATCACAAAAGGATACATCACCAAATGTGTGTGTGTGTTTTGCGTGTTTTTTGTGTGTGTTTTTTTCAGCAGTTGATCTGTGTAAACTGACCATCATGTCAGAGTGATGTATCTGTTCAACACCTATTTTTTCCATCCAGGAACTGACATTAGGGTGGCTGTGAACAAAGTCGAATTTATTTATGGAGGTCGAATTCCTCTTCCAAATGGTATCAGATCTCGTTAATGGGGCAAAAAAATCGAAAAGTCCTGATATGCTGAGGGGTAAACGTTTTATTTTGTTACATATGCATGAAATTACTATCAAATAACTGTTTGGAGTTACGGCTAATGTGTCTCATCGAAATAATTGTTTCAGACATTTGGTCTCTTTGGGCGTTTCAAGACATTTGGAGCCGATTTAGCCACGTTCAATAGTCTGTCTGACCGCGGTTAGCATGATAACTCTCAAAAGGGATACCCGTTTTAATCCAAACTTGGTACATTGTAATATTTAAATTTAGATCGAATTTAGATGTGGAAAAATGAGTCCAGTCCACTTTATGCCACACTTTATGGTCAAAATTTTGAAAAGTAATAACTCGCATGTGAAGCTTGCAGAGTCCACAATTAAGTCTGAACTTTGCTCACCGTAACATTTGTGTCAAATTTAGTTCAGATACGAAAATTGGAGATATTGACGTACAATTTCGGATAATCATGACTGTCATAGATGTGGAATTAGTTCCCGATTTACCCCAAACTTTGCATATGCCAATACTTTTACCGAAATTAGATGAAATTAGAATTATATGTATAGGTTTACTACTCCTAAAATATATCGAATTGACCTCCTAGCGGAGACGGTCATACGCTGAGGGTATGTTTCTGTCGGGAAAGCGAATAATATTTTCTTCTCTGAATCTTTGCCTTCCTTAGCTTTTAAGTTCATGTTATATAATCAAAGTACTGAATTTTAACACCGGTTTCTGAAATAAAAACGAAAATATGTCATCTCAAGTCATGATTATACAATTAGACAGGAACAATGCATCACACATTTTGTTTGAAATTACGTTCAAAATCTCAAGATCCCTCCAATTTTATTCTAAACATCCACCAAATACTCTAATGTAACTTTTCGCATAATATTGACATATAAACATTAAATGTATGGTAGGTTTTTGTGTTAGCTTCCTCACAGCCACAATCAATGATCACAGCTGACTGCAGCTCATTCACATACCGATAATGTACTTAAGGTTCATTCGTTTTCAAACCAGCATAACTTCAACCTCCATATTCGTCACAAAAGAGTTCCACCGAATGGACATTTCAGGATAAACGTTCGATTTAAAAGTGAAGTACACATCCACACACACATACAATACTGAGATATGTACATATGTATGGGTAATATTTCTAACAATCTATCTCTGTGTGGATGTTTGTGTTTTCGATCAACAAAAAAACGGTTATTTCAAATTCTTAATTACATAAACAAAATCCCATTTGATTTTTACAACAATGCCCGCCACACTCACACACACATACACACACTTATGATCTGAAGTCCGATGTGACAGAATATGATGTGGGTCGATGGACCGGATTCCAATTCAATACTAGTAAAATAATTTATAGAGAAGTTCAATCACATACATATGTGTGAATGGGTGTGTGTAGACACACTTGTGACATTTAAATGTCACATGGAGCAATTTATAGTTTCCAACATGGTACAATGATATCAAGGTAGGGCTATGATACCATATGATTTCAATTTTTTTATTTTCTTGGCTTAATATGTCATCTTTATTTGTTTTTGTATATGTTTTCTTGTCAATAACAAAAAAATTGTTCAGAAAATATTCAAATTCGGATGTTTTCAAAATGTTTATTTCATCGTATGCATCGACAAAATCTAGAGTTTTTGTAGCGAAATAATCCTTTAGAGATATATAGAACCTGGTTTTGAAAAGAAGTGTTGACCTTTCATTCAGTTTTCGCGGTTTTCAATTATTTATTCAAAATAAATGCAACAAGTTGTTTGATTTTATTATTGTTTTGATACTATTTCTGACGTTACAAGCCAAACAGGTAGACCTCTATACTTGCAATTTTTTCAAAGTTGACCTACCTTCTCTTCATTGTACCATGGTTTCCAACTTCCCCTATGTATTCAAATGCACTTAGCATAGATGGTTGAATCGAACCTGCAAAAAAATATATATACCAATGTGTGTGTGTGTGAGAGAGAGAGTTGGTACCAACTGTATCTTCTCGTTTGGATGGAAATTTTTTAAGTGCCCTTTGTCTTTGTTATCTACTTTGCAGGTTGGCAATATGGCCAATGACGGAATTAAATTGGCGACCAGCATTAAGGAGCAACGCTGCTCCATGGCACCCCACGACGGTCTGGAGGAAGAATCACGAGGTGGCACTCTGCGGGCCCTGTGGACACACGGCGGACCGACCGCAGCCTTTGTCCACATTGTAATCGCCATGTGTCTGTTGCTGCCGCGACTGCTACTCGAGGCTCGGATAATTGAAAATGGACTTTTGCCAAGAGGTAATTGAATCAGCATTCATATATATCTAAAATCTAATGTTTTTCACATGAGATGCAAACAAGCAGCGAGAAGCGTTGCATTGAGGGACACGAAGCGGGGTAATATTGTGAAATTTTGAATTTTCAAATTAAAATCATGCGACATAATCAAGTGGCATTTCACTTTAAATGGAATGGCCCAGTGAGTGAGTTAATAACGCGTTGTACTGGGAAGGCGAATACAAAATTGAGAAGCTGTAGATTTAAAATTTATTATTGACCCAATATTTCAATAAATATTTCTATATTTTTTTCTCCTTAGCCTTATATTTAAAATAATTGAAATAGTTTATAACAAAAGCGGCTGTTATTATGCCAACGTCTTTTCTTTACACTGTTTACATGTTACTAAAAACACAGCCTTATTTATTCTCTTTACTACTCAACGTTTGAATGTCGCGATTCAATACCAAGCTTCTATACTCCATTCGTAAATGACCATGCACGCATACATAAAACCAATAAATCCGGTAGTGATTATAAATACGAGTTAGTGAGATAAAGCTAAGACCGATAGATAAGCAAAGAAGTATGAGAGATACAGGGTGAAAAAAAAACTGCAAAAAGTCAAACGGCATAATTTCTATATTTTTTTAAATTTTATTGAATGAAAGCAAATATTGTCGGAAATAGCATCAAATTTTAGAAAAAGTTTAGATTTGTTCGAATTGGTCACCTTTGGCACGAACTACGCGGGAAACAAAGCGACAAACCTCATTTTGCAACCATTCTTGGGTGGCGCGTGCTGAGTGCGATGGTGCTGAGTCCTGTTGGAATGTCCAATACACCCTCCAGTATATTTTCGCGATAATATTCGGAATTTATTCTGATGCCACGGTCGATAATACGAGCAGAGAGCGGCCGTCGGCTGTTATGGCGGCCCACACCATCACCATAGCCGGCGCTAGAGTTTTGGTGGCCAACCGAAGGTACACATTTTTAGCTGACCACTTTGGCATGTAAACACGATCGTTTTTTTGTCAACCAACGGCTGGACAACGAATGTTTTCTCATCGGCCAATGCAACGCGGGTTTCGATCAAGTCGCTTCTTAATTTTTCGAACCATTTCTGTTGATGTTGCTGTTTTCTTGCATCCACATCCTTGACGTCGGGACACGCTACCAGTATTACGGTAACGAGCGATGGTACGAGACACAAAAGATTTATTCACATTTAAATGCTAAGAAATCACACTATCACGCTTGAATTCCATCACGAATAACTTTTTTTCTGGAAAGTTCTCACCAAAGTGCTTTTGTACGCTTGTAAACAATATGATGAGCTGTCACTGGAATATTTTTAACAGCTGTCGGAGAAGTGGCTTAGAAATGACAGCAGTCTGATGTTGGTTGCAGTGTTTTTCATCTCTCCCTGTAAATAGCAAATATTACAATCGGAAAATAAGCATTAAAAAGTTAAAAAGCAATTAAGCTCGACCGGGCCGAACTTTTTATAACCTCTACCCTTTGGAAAGTAACTTATGTAAAGCAATGTCTGTAAATACCGATTACTAAACTAAAATGATTATTAAGATGAGTTACACACGAAATGACAAATTTAATGTAGCCTGCTTTGTATGTATGTGGATGGAATACAAAGTAGTAGCAGAGTGTTGAGAATTCTATAAAATAGTTGTTCTTGTAAACTGATTCAAATACAGCTACTGCTTAATAAAAAATTACCTTATAATACAAAATTTTTAAATTAACGGTAAGCTACCTAGAGTTGGGCCAATCTAGTTCAAAGTTCAGTACACCAGCTGCAAGACGTATGTGTGATTTAATATATTTCATATCACTCATACGCAGAATTTTACAAACGATCGGAGTCCAAGGAACTAGTTTGTTCGATCGAACTGGATTGGCACAACTCTAAAACTAAATAAATTTAATCTACCCGTTAAAAAGAACTGTGCTACTTAAAAAAGGAACTGTGCTTCCGATATTCAGTATTCTTATGTAAATGCAATTTGCCATAAATTATATTTGGATGATAGGCAACATATCTCCCAAAAGACAATAGGTGTAGGGAAAACATAACGTTCTGTTAAATTTAATTTTATTTCCCCACTGACTTACCATTCAAAAGCGAGCCTGTTTTCAACGTCTTCATTTAAATCAAATCTTTTAATTTTTGCCAAAGGTCTTAGCCCAAATAACTTGGAACATTTACCACATTTGCGAAGGAATTGCATAATGGAATGTAGGGGTTGGGAGCTTCCCCAGACCACTTTCATTTGATTAAAACCGCGAATTTTCCTAACAATGTGTGAACAAACGGCCCGCATATTCCACTCCCCCATTGAACTAATCCAACATTGCCTAGGAAACGAAATCCTTTGAAATAAATTGGGGAGCATTTTTATTGGCGCAATCATGGCAACTGGCTGTGCCGTCTTAAAACGGATTATGGCTTTTGTCATTCGACGACTTTGTGTTTGTGCCAGCGAAAGTTGTTCCTTTGCATCCATCAAAAGGATTTCCAAGTCATATTGTGTTCGTTCACATTGTTCACAAATTACGTAGCAAAATCAAAAGACTTACTCCGAGCAGAACCGAACTGAGCATCAGCGGTGTTAAAAACAAACTTGGATGGTTCTACTGCCAACGCGGTTGCCTTGGCAATATTATTCCATTGTTGTTACTTTAATATTCATTCGATAATAATACCACGAAATCGACCGCTAATCTCATTCACATCCACATATATACAAACAAACAAACAAACGAACACACACACACACACACACAAATAAAACCCCTTTTCATGCATGACACTCAACAATGTACATTAGATAAATTGGTGGACCAGGATTACTGGCAACGAACGTGTCCTAGGGTGGAGTTTTTTTTTAAATGGTAGCCAGGGACGGTCATTGGATGATTTTTAAACCAAAAACAATGCTTTGGCGAGTGATGACACTTTAGGTTGAGACTCGGATTTTTCCCTCAAAGGGAATATGAGTTTCTGCATGTCAGTCCGTCCGTCTGTCCATGTTTATCCGGCTGAGATGAAATGTTCCAAACAAGATTTGTTTGGCCCAAGGACGAACCCTATTGAAATTGAGGAGAATCAGTTTAATTTGAGATATAGCTCCCTTATATATTTTCAACCGATTTTGGGTTAATTATGCACCAAGTGGCCATTATCAGTCCAAATGACCTGCATTTTGGCACATCCGACCAAATTCAATCTAGAAGCAAGTACATCAAAGATGGTTCAGATATAGCTATAGCTCCCATATATATGTTTCATCTGATTTCGGGTTTTAAGTCCCTCACATGCGTAATATGAACTCCACAACAATAATCAGATATCAGATACAGACACAGTTCGAAAATACCTCTGCCAAATTCTATTGAGATCGATTCAGATTTAAATATAGCTTCGATTTTACGGTTATTGTTCACCATATATATAATATTAGCCCAAATTGAATAGATTTTTTCATATTCAACCGAATTTTACCATTTGGTGAAACTCCAGCATACAGCAATGATATTTGGTTGATAGGCGGTATGATCTACTTCAGATGAATTCCCAATATGCTCTACCAAACTCATAGTGATGTAGGGTATCATATAGTCGACCCCGCCCGACTTTTGACCTTTCCTTGCTGGTTTTTTTTCTTGCGCTTTCCACAGCTTGTGCACCGATTTACAAAATATCATAAAACTCTTTATTTTAACATGCTCATGTTGTAGGAAGTATGTGCTGACCAAAAGTTTAAACAATTTGGAATCAGTCAGTTTGTCGATTTCTGTTGAGGTATCAGAATAGTGAGCAATTCTTGTTAAGAAATTAAATATATTGCGCGGAGGCACAGGAAAATCAGGCCCATATTTTTGGGCTTCATAGCAGACTTAAGTAAAACGTGAAGTCCCACGCATATTATGAAATATACTTTTTTTCATTTTTAAACTTTTGTGGGGATAGCTGTGGCAAAAATTTTTGCTTCGTTTGTTCATTGCTTGGTAAGGTGAAAGTAATGCAAATTAATTAACCGTAATTTGGCTCACTTTATTTTTTTATTGTCTTTTTCTATCATTTCCTTGCAACTCGTACTTTTCCAATTCGTGGTATTGACCACGAAGTAAAAAAACATATATATGCAAACTTACCGTTACTCACAATCCAAAGTTTGAACAAGTCTCGACCAGGGCCTTTGGGTCGTTCATGGAATGAGAAAGTTTCGAGACTTGTATGCAAATGTAAATTACTCCCTAATATGTTGTAATCATCCATTTGGGTAACGAGTCCATTACCCGTTGTCTGTGTGTAGAGTAGAGTCGTTGTGTGGTACACATCCGCAGTAATTTCATTTTCTGGAATAAAACAAAGAGAAACGGAAAATGTATTTTGTTGGTTGCTCCATATTGTTGTTCACAACTCGACGTTATTAACATGGATCCATATTTTATGATTTGTAGATAAGCTGCTATCTATCCATGGCCGTTGAAATTTATATTGGTTTTTGCATTTGTAGTGATGCAGTTACTCGCAAAGTGCTCATCGAACGAACACACACACATGTGTACATATATACAAAGCTTTTGTTAATTTTCATAACATTTACAGTTGGGGGGGGTCTATTTCGAGCTATTCCTTGATGCGTAGAGTGGACAGTGGATCAAATACGACGAAACATAACATAGATTGGACACTTTCGGACAAATCTGATTCTCTGGAATTTAGTTTATTGTTTCCTGTTTCTTAAGATATAACCAACTCACAGTTCTAGTTCGTGGAAACACACATTCCTCTTCTTTAGAAAGAAAGAGTCCCATCAGAACTCCCATACGGAATATGATGCCTTACAAATACTATAAAATTGTATTACCTCCAATACCCTTCATGAGCACCTCACAATGTTTCTTGTTTTTCTTTCAGAAACTATTTGGCAAACTGAATTGGATTTTATGAGCGTCAATCGTCGACATCTCGTTGTGATGTCGGTAATGGCTTCGCCTTATCAAAATGACACTCGTACTTATGAGTCGCAAGAAGATGATGAATATTTGAATGACACCATTTTCAGTGATGAAGGTGGTGGTGGTGGAGGTGGGGGCGGTGCCACCATCACCGGTGGCAATGCCAATAGCTTGTGGAGTACCGACTTGCGACACCAGTATGGCAGCAATAAACGAAAGAATGTCATATTGCCAGCAGTTGGCAAGAGCAGATTCCTTGAATTGCCGGATTTAATTGAAGCTGTCGAAAATCAAAGCACAAAGTATGACAAATTCCAGGGTAAAGCAGGAGAGGATGCTAAAATACCAATGAAAGCTAAAGGCACTGGCACCGCGAAGTCATCGGAAAAACAAACAACAGAAAATGGCATTCGTCAAAATGGAGACAATCGGCAGGCAAAAGGAAATGACTGGATAACAATAGAGGATGATATAAGAAAAGCCAGAACCACGACGACGTCGACGACGATGGCAACAACAACAACATCTACTACTACTGCTACCGCTGCTGCTGCAGAAACAACAACCTCACCAATTTCAAGTACCACGACATTAATAAGAACAACTTCTTCTGCTGGGACAACAAAATTGCCAACTTCCACCAAACCAACACCCTCCATGAAAACAACAGCAACAAGAACCATAACAAATAAATTAACCACCCAGAATATTAATAATAATAACATCGCCATTGATGCCACAACCTCGGCGATGACAACATGGTCCGAGGAAACATCTTCTTTTGGCAGCGGAGATCCCTTCTTTCCCGCCATTACTCAGCCCTCAGCCGCAACGTCAACTGAAATTCAGAGAATTGCTTTGGCCCCAACCAAACATCACCAACATCATCATAGCTCCCACAGTGGCAAATCATCGCGCCGACACAATGGCCATCATCGGCAGAGAAAAATTTCCAATTCGTCTGCCTCACAGCGTAGAACTCACCACCATGGTGGCCGACGCTCGGGTGAAATTAACAGTGCCAATATGCCTGAGGGTCTGGAAGACTTTCCACCTAAGGTCAATCGTTTCGATGAATTTGAGTATCCCTCAACGGGTCGTATCTATGAACACAGACCCTCATCTTTTGAGGAGCTGGACATTGGTCGTGCCAGAGCTGCTATATATCCCAAATCGTCGACCACAATAAGTACGACAACACGCGACAGTAACATACACATCGTCAAGCCCGAAAAATTGCCCGAGATTGTGCCCTCCACCCCGGTCTCAAGCAATTCGAAAATTATTGAAATTAAAAGTAAATCAGTGAAGAGACTCAAGCGCCAACTTTCACTCCCCGAAGAGAGTCAAGTGGAAATCGAACCCGAGTATTTGGTGGGAGATTTAAATCTAAACGATTCCAGCGAATATCTAGTCGAGATGACCACCATTGATACATCTACGCCAAGTACCGATGTAGATCTCCAACCAAACAATGGCAATGTGAGGCTGGACGGATTTGCCGGAATGTTGCAGCTATTCTTTGGCATTGAGAAACCCATCGATGTGAATATCTTTACTCAACCGCCCAGTGCGGAGTTTGTGAATCTGGTGTTCGCACTGCTGGTATGGTGTGTCCGTTACCCAGCCGTCTTCTGGAACACCGCCAAATCATTTGCTACCGTGTTCAGTGTCCAGATGATAGCCACCGCATGCGATATCATTTTCAGTTTCGTTGGAATATCGAATCTCTTCAAACTGCAAATCTACAGTGAAGCTCAGCCCATCCAAAATCCTGGCTTAATACTGAACGCCACCGTTACGCTTGCCCTGTTCCTTCTCTCGGCTATATTAATGTTGTCTTCCTCAATGATCATGTATTTGTATGGCCATGGACGCTTGGCTGCCAAAATGCGAGACCGTTCTATCATCACCCTAAAGTCGAGCCAGTCGTGGATATATTTTGCCCATTGTGCATCGCTGTGCTATGTGCTGGCATTGTCAGTGGTGAAGGCGCCGCTGCTCAATGATTTAAGTGCAACCTATCGACACAATTTGCATTGTCCCACATTTATGGCGGGTAAGTCGAAATACGGTCAATTATCTTTTGAAATCGGGGGACTGAAAGAGAGAGAGAGAGAGAGAGAGAGAAAATATTCCATTTCGTAATATGACATTAAAGAACTGGTTGAAATTGACACGCTTCACATGCCTTATTATTCGGGAATGCTTCCTGTGCTGGCAACTATACGTGATTGTAATTGTGTTAGTTGTTCCTAATTCGTAGTTTGTTTAAGTTTAAATCTTTAAAGTCCCTGCTGAAACAACGTTCATTCGTATACATCTGAGAAAGAAAAATATACAATGTGTGAAAATCATTTATTTTCCTCAGATACGTGCGTCCGGGCATGAAGGTCATATAGAAAGAAATGCGTTCACACACAACTACATAGACCCTTTCTTTACCCCCACCCTCTGCCATGACAATGCAGTCAATTTTCACCTGTTTGACTGTCACGATGAGTGTTGGATGTGGGTAAAAACCACAAAGGGTCGGTTGTTGCAAATTGTGTTGCATGTACGGACGGACATTGGTATTGCCACACAACAATTGAATGCCTTTTGTTTGCAACGACTTTTCAAGCATTCAAGCATATTAAATTACAAAGTTGAAGATTTTCCTCTTTTCTCTTTGCGACTTGCGACTATGTAGTGATGCCGATTGGGATCCAAACATGGGTTGGTTTTATATTCAGTCTATCCGTTAAACAATCACGTCCCAATTCACATCCCTAGTATTTATGTATAAATAAATTGGCCCTATTCCTCTAAGAGCTGGGAATGAACTCAACACTTGTATTGAACAAGAAAAAAACAAATAATTATACCGATTAGTTCAACTACGGATTATCCTCACATGGCAAATGTTTCTTTGTTTAATTTCACTATTTTTCTTTTCTTCTCTTTTTTCTTCTTCTTCTTCGTGTATATTTCAGCCTTGGTAAGCGTTATGCACATTCTACTTTGGATTGTGATCTGGCTATGCCTGACCATTAAGCGTAAATGGAGTTTCAAATTACCACCATTGGATGCATATTCCATCATTGGAAAGGCTACCACACAGCCTCTGCTAATGCATAATCGTGGCAGTTTAACAAATACCACAACCGCCAGCTTGAACAATTCCACTAATTTGGGTGGCAACACATCATCAATCGGAACGGGCGACAGCAGTGGAGGTGGCGGTGAACACAAAATAAATGGTTCGGAGCATGGTGGTGGCGGAGGTGTTGGTTGTGGCAGTCGCATGACCAATACACCCAGTGCAGATGGCCTGAACGACAGCATGGCTGCCGAAGATATCTATTGGCCGAAACTGCAGCCAAGTTCACCAAAGTTAAAAGTTACATTCAATGAAGTTACGAGTACGTGTGACGATGATAATCATCATCATCGACTAATTGCTGGTGACCATCACCAACAAAACGATGGCAAGCGGTAAAAAATCGTTTTTTAGCCCACACATCAATCACAAAAACGTTCATGTTCTTCAATGGTTCACTTTACTGTTAGAGTTCGGCTGCTGCTTAGCGGCAGTCTAGTGAATACAAATGAACGAGTTCCTAGTTTGGTCTTTTTTGATTTTGTTTCGATTTGATTTGAAATGTCTCCTGTTTCCTTTTTGTTTTGTTGTTAAATATAAATAACACCGATTAACATGTTTATAACCTCAGTGCACGATTTGTTAATAATTATTTGTTTTTTTTTAATTTAATTTGTTGTTTTGAATTATCCACCCTTCCACAATCCAACCACAACACCAGTGCACATCGGCCTAATGGAATAACATATTATTGTTTTAATCCATATTCAAATACCAATATCTTATAGTTTACTCGTTACTTAACCCACCGCCCTCTGTTGGTGGGTATCATTTTGTGTGTATCATCATAGCATCCATTCATTTATACATCCGCCAAAGCAATCCATTCCAAGAGAACTTTTAGATGAAGATGAATTACTGTTTGACGCAAATTGAAAAAGATAATGGATTTAGCACCAACAAATTATTGTTCTTGTTGTTGTTGAGAAACTATTTTTGTTCCGCTTGTCGCCTGTTTATTGTTATTTAATTTTTATTTGTCTTATTAAACTCAATTGTATATATCTACATACATACATTTCATTACTTAGATTATCTAATTACTTGTCTGCCACCTACTAACAAAATAGATTCGAACCATTTAACCGAACTAACAATTTAAAATAAGCCAGTAACCCAAAGAAAAATCAAATCTATTTATACTTCCAGATGAATTATTAAATTAAGTTTGGGGTGCCATTACTCCATTGTCAGTTCTAATGTTGTGACAACAACAAGTCACAATATCCACCGTGACTAGATGTGACAGATGCGAAGAGATTCGCGTGTTATTTTAACCGAAGCCAAAAAAGCCACATGTGAACAGTAATAGTGACACTTGTTTTATCAAAGGCAAACCATCTTCGGTTATGTTTGACATGTATTGAGCAAGTCGTATCGTCAATTCCTAAAGACCAAGTCGAAGACACAGTAAGATCCTCAATGTGGAGCGGTAGTTACGTACGTGGAAGCTTGTACCATGATTCCGAGCGCCAACTATTTCAAGTTCCTAGGAGAAACTTTCGATATCCGGTTAAGGCGTCGGGTTACATCACAATTATCTGTGATAAGATCAGAAGTGCTACCAAGGATTACAAGTAGTTCACAGGCTTTTTAGACTCTTATAAGCCAATAGATTAGTCGGTGGTGAGCTAGGCGGCACTTCTGTGACGCTGTGTATGGATAGGGATCCCCGCGGAGACCTACTAGAAAAGGCCTTTTTGATATGAACAGAGAGAGTGTTACAACTATTTAAAATAGGGTATCATTGGAGCAGAAGAACAAAGAAGCGCTGCATCGCTTTATATGGCAAGCGAAATCTATGCAACTAATAGTTGGGGGTGATAGTAGAGGTGATTTATTAACTGGTGTAGTCAAGTTCTCATGCTAATTTAGAATCAAAAAATAATATGGATAGCAATTTGTCACTAGCTGTGTCCAAAACCAACATTGCAGCGGAAAAATCCAAGTTGTAATAAAAGACTTTTGCAAAAAATGTAAAAATAGATTTTTGATTTTTCTAGGTTACTGCTTACCCCACATATTTAAGACGTTCATCCATTTTCTTTCATCATCCAACTAGAACTTGTGTAGAAACATTGTTTCAGTGTCCTAGTTGATTGTAGAGATGTTCTCAAAGTAGATGCAAACACGTTGAGGAATTCGTTTAAATAACTAATACACACCTATTTGCTTTGCAGCAATACGGCCCGTGGAACCGCGTTATGTTTTGCCAGTGCTACGGGGGAAATTGATGACGGAGAATATGCGACACTAAGATCTGCTCCGCCAGCCAATGCGATGGGAGGTGGTGCAACAGTGGGCAACACCATTGGCTGTGGCATCTCTTCGAAGGCTCCACCGGCTGGCGGTGTTAGCGTTTTACGCCTAAGCGAGTATGAAGAATTACCACCACCGCCACAACATTTGATCTCATCAATGGTAACAACCGGCGGCCATACATCAACATCTATGAATTCCCACAGAGATTATGTCAATTGTCCGAATAGTGGTAGCAACGGCATGCTAGGAGACGATAACATCTCAGAGGAGGGCAAACTCCTGGCCTGTGTGAGGGATGACAGTGTAACATATGCTTCGACAAGAGACTTGGAGCCGCCTCTTCCGCCACCACCACCCATAGCGGACAGGGCCCCACACGCCATACCTGAGATTTCTTCTCCGGAGCATCTAGTCAGTCCATTGGCACCTGTGACGGTTACTGTCCATGCAAATGAAGCTCATGTAAGTATTCCAAAATATTTTGAGTATTTTGTTTATTGTAATTTGAATATTTTGCAGATAACATCAAGTTCCACACCTCGCTGTTTACGCCGTGCTGATTCGGGTGTTCCTCAGGAAGCCTTAACACCGCGCAGTGACACCACATCAATGGGCACAGAAAGTACAACTTCACCACCCGATCGAGCTCCTTCCGAATCGTCAAGTGGCGTCCACTCTGCCGAAGAACGAGAAGTAGAAGTTGTTATAAGGCCACGTCCCGCCTGTAAGCCACCTGCCAAGCCCCCACAGCCCGCTATACAAGAGGAGCCTTACGGCCGTTGCACTAATATGCGCATGTCCAGCTTCGCCAGCGGAGGTGCCAATGCCAATAGTGCTACTCTGCCACCACAACGCTCACAGCCAGAACAAAAATTCGATTACTCGCAACATTGCAGTACCATGCCGCTGCCGTCGAATGGACACTTCTCCCATCCGCAGTCACAACAATCGCAATCGGCCGTGTATGCCACATCCGCCCACTGCATGACCCAATCACTGAATGCCGGTTCCAATATGACCTCATTCAAAACACCCCTATATGCCAATTCGGGAGTGGCCATGTCTGGTCATAACAATACCGCCCATTGCTATCAGGACCAGTCGGCGCCACCACCCCCACCTCCACAGCATCCGTCACAAGTGACGCATACCACACTGCCCAATGGCGTACGCTACTCCAATCCCAATATTCTAAGACGTCTGCCGTATGTAAAAGGTGCTGAATCGCCATATGGTCACCTGGGATTGGGAGCAGGTCATCATGCTTTTTCCAAAAACGGCTATGAAAACACCCTCTTAAATTCAACCATACCAGAAGACCGTGACTCTGCCAACTATTCAATGACCTCCGACCAGGATTGTCTTTATGCCACAGCCAATCCACTGCATTAAATCCAGCGAGGCCTATGCTAAAGCCCATAGACCGGCCGCCGACGAACACCCGTGTAAATGTTCCAAAAAGAAAACAAAAACACATTTTCCGTTTGTTTTTGTTCTTGTACTCCTACAACGTATAACTATAGTATTCATATGCGTACATACATACAATTAAACATCTAACTACTCTAATTGACAAAGATAATGGCATGGAAACATGTTGACTATTTCCCCCCAAAATTGAATCTACATACCTAACTTGCATACATTGCATACATATAAATCTAATCTATACCATTGCATACGCTTGCGTAAATCATACAGTGTATGATTTATGTACATACATACTTATAAAAAAATAAAAAGCATTTCACTAATCACCCAACTCCTCTAGAACGCTCATCCAAAAAAAAAAAAAACGTTTTTTGCGTCATTCGTCAACCTAATTTCGTGCAAATCATACCCCCACCCCCAAATACGCTCATATCATTATATAGCAATATATAATAAGTATGAAACCCTCAATGCTTGATAATCTCATCGCGTAGATAGCTCTAATGCGAGTTTAACCTTAACATAATCGATGGTTTGGACCACTCACACACACACACACAAATGTTCGTGCATACATGCATCCATATGCAAGGCAAGTTTGGTTCTGGTTCCGTTTCACTTGCGTACCAAGTTCAAGTTGATATTTCGCCACGATTTACTCTCCTATTCTTTTCATTCAATCCTTCGTACAGACAAATACGGTCTGGAGTATGTGCCTTCTTCTTCTGTGTAACAATCAGAAGTTCTGTGATTTACCAAAAAAGAAAATTGCAAATATTTAAGAAATTATTAGCTCCAGAACACAAACAACAACAACATTGGACACATTTTCAATATATCATATAGAAAATAAGATTAAAAGTTATTGTTAGAAAATAATCCAACATAGGATCTAGTCTGAAGCTATTTCAATGTATGTATGGCTTCTACGAGCGCGGGTATGTGTGTGTATACATTTGTCCTTCATCGAAAACCTACATGATAAGTAAAGTTAATACAAAATGTGATTGGTTTAGTCTAATATACAATATATTTAAAAAATACTTTTACACAAAATGCGCACAATATTTACCATGTTTCGCTTTTTAGAACAAATAGGTTTGCCTCATTGTTTTCATTTGTTCTTAGGAAGCATTTTGATAGTTTTATTTCTATAAATCCACGGTTAATGATTTCTTCAACGTTCGACATTTATTGCGTTTCAGAAAACCTACTTCAAGTTTGGTATAGACTTTTTTTTCGAAATTCATCAAATGTGTATGTACATATTGCGTTCCCACTCAAAACTAAACCCAATCATTATTGGAACAAAATAGTTTTGCTTAGTATTTTCCTTTCAATCACCTGCATAACAAAGCAATAAATATTTTTCGAATAAAGTTGACATCTAACGTACATACATAACTATTTATCACAAAGGCTAAAATATTTACTAGGTTTAATGTCTTATAGAATAACAACAAATTGGAATACAATTGCAAAACAAAACAAAAAAAAAAAAAAACCTTCACGGGAATGGTACCAAAATCATAAATAAATGTTATGCCTATAAAATCTATAATAATTATAAAAATAAAAATTATACGCATAAATATATTTATTAAAATTATGTTTTAAGAAATATTTTATCATAATAATTATTTGAAAAATTTGCTAACTTTTATACATACAATCATATACATACATACATATATACACTACACTTTCGGTATATGGAGAAGAAAATAAACTCGATCTTTGATACATTGGTTCAATTTTAAAATGTAAACAGACAATTTTGGACAAATAGACAACCACTCTGGCCGATCTACCGACTGTGGACTTAATATAAAAAAAATGTAAAACACAATCATCGTTTTGAAATTGATTTTTATACAATTTGTTTTGAAGAGATTCACCACAAATATATGTACCCACGAATGATAAATATACATCATATCACTTTTATACAAACATGCAACAAAGCCAATGAAACAAACAGAGAGATACAATAATACATAATGAAAAAATACAAGAAAAAATAAATAAATTTTATCATAATTAAAAAACATTTTTTTTTTATTTTTGTTTGCATAAATCGCTAACTCGATATTCCCCAGTTTAACCTTAACATAATCGATGATTTGGACCACTCACACACACACACACAAATGTTCGTGCATACATGCATCCATATGCAAGGCAAGTTTGGTTCTGGTTCCGTTTCACTTGCGTACCAAGTTCAAGTTGATATTTCGTCACGATTTACTCTCCTATTCTTTTCATTCAATCCTTCGTACAGACAAATACGGTCTGGAGTATGTGCCTTCTTCTTCTGTGTAACAATCAGAAGTTCTGTGATTTAACAAAAAAGAAAATTGCAAATATTTAAGAAATTATTAGCTCCAGAACACAAACAACAACAACATTGGACACATTTTCAATATATCATATAGAAAATAAGATTAAAAGTTATTGTTAGAAAATAATCCAACATAGGATCTAGTCTGAAGCTATTTCAATGTATGTATGGCTTCTACGAGCGCGGGTATGTGTGTGTATACATTTGTCCTTCATCGAAAACCTACATGATAAGTAAAGTTAATACAAAATGTGATTGGTTTAGTCTAATATACAATATATTTAAAAAATACTTTTACACAAAATGCGCACAATATTTACCATGTTTCGCTTTTTAGAACAAATAGGTTTGCCTCATTGTTTTCATTTGTTCTTAGGAAGCATTTTGATAGTTTTATTTCTATAAATCCACGGTTAATGATTTCTTCAACGTTCGACATTTATTGCGTTCCAGAAAACCTACTTCAAGTTTGGTATAGACTTTTTTTTCGAAATTCATCAAATGTGTATGTACATATTGCGTTCCCACTCAAATCTAAACCCAATCATTATTGGAACAAAATAGTTTTGCTTAGTATTTTCCTTTCAATCACCTGCATAACAAAGCAATAAATATTTTTCGAATAAAGTTGACATCTAACGTACATACATAACTATTTATCACAAAGGCTAAAATATTTACTAGGTTTAATGTCTTATAGAATAACAACAAATTGGAATACAATTGCAAAACAAAACAAAAAAAAAAAAAACCTTCACGGGAATGGTACCAAAATCATAAATAAATGTTATGCCTATAAAATCTATAATAATTATAAAAATAAAAATTATACGCATAAATATATTTATTAAAATTATGTTTTAAGAAATATTTTATCATAATAATTATTTGAAAAATTTGCTAACTTTTATACATACAATCATATACATACATACATATATACACTACACTTTCGGTATATGGAGAAGAAAATAAACTCGATCTTTGATACATTGGTTCAATTTTAAAATGTAAACAGACAATTTTGGACAAATAGACAACCACTCTGGCCGATCTACCGACTGTGGACTTAATATAAAAAAAATGTAAAACACAATCATCGTTTTGAAATTGATTTTTATACAATTTGTTTTGAAGAGATTCACCACAAATATATGTACCCACGAATGATAAATATACATCATATCACTTTTATACAAACATGCAACAAAGCCAATGAAACAAACAGAGAGATACAATAATACATAATGAAAAAATACAAGAAAAAATAAATAAATTTTATCATAATTAAAAAACATTTTTTTTTTATTTTTGTTTGCATAAATCGCTAACTCGATATTCCCCAGAATAATATTTGTATTTTTCATTTTTTAGATCTTTTTTTCATATCTTCTGCAAAGGCAGAAGAAATGCATATTTTATAGAAAGTGGAGAGTGTATCCGTTTCGATTTTGTGCGACATCAGGTCAGATCAGCAAATATACAATATATGTGCCCATCCCCAGAAAGAGGAAACTCTTTTCTCCCAGCTTCTTATGAAGCGAAGAGGGCATCCATCACCAAACCCCACCAGTCATAAAAGTCTGAAGAAAGCTTTTGAAACCTAAAATCATTTATAGATTTCATTGTCCGAATGTTCGCAACTGATCTTAAATTTATACATTTAGAAGGGATATATCCAGACCACTTACTCTGCACTTAAATTGTGCATCGCAGGCGTTTTAATAATTACGATTGTACTTTAGTTGCCTATAGCAGCTTTTCTATCGGATATTCAACAAAATGTTTAAAATAAGTGTGTAAAAAAAATTGGACATTGAAGAATAATATATGTTTAAATCCGTCACGATTTTTCATTTGACATCTAAAGGATGTATTTTACCTAAATTTTTGACCAGAAAAATACTTATTTTCTTTGACAGTTTTCACAAATTTTCTTATTAAATAAAAAATGCATTTGGATGTAGCATTTTACCATCATTTCCATTCCTCCTCTAAATATTTGCTTAGAATAAAATATATCCAAAATCATCTTATATGGCATTGCACATCTTCACACCATACTACGCCCATTGTTCGGACAAAATGTGCTACTACATTTGAAATTCACAAATGCTTCGCATCACCTCATCATAATTAGTGTCAAAGGAACAGATCACAGTCTATCGTCATATTTCACCCAACAAGTAATCAATCACCCACCCTACCACTGACAAACACACACATATCCATATGTAAGTAAGTAAGAAAATTAAAGTTATTTAAAGACAAACATTTATCTCGTGTTATTGGAAAAAATTTGAAAAGACTGAGGACTAAAATCGTCAAAGAGGAACGCTTCTTAACGAACGACCGATGACCGACCGACCGATTACTATAATGCTAAATACCTACATACATATAAAAAAGCTGAATCGATATCTTGGCTCAATAATGTTAAACTTTTGTATACAATTTTCGAAATATTGAAATGAAATAATAACCGTAACAATAACAATTTAAGTATTATGCAAATTTTGCCCCGTATTGTATCATAGGCTTCAGTAAACTAAAATCTAACATAACACCCACACCCTTTGAAAATTAAAACACAACAACACACATAACTACTTGGTAAAATAATATGTTTCAAAAACATTCTTTTGAAGCAAGATCCCTTTTTAAAAGTATTTATAAATGTTCTTTTATTTTATGCAAACACAGTTTTATAACAACTACCACTACATACAGACAAATATAGCAAAATAAAATATTATGAGGTAAATAAAAAGTACCACCGCTTTATGTAAAACCCACGCCAATTGTTTACCTTCTTTCGTTCGGTTTTTCGGCAAATGATTGAATGCGACTCGGGCGTCGACCTACTCGGCAAGGTAAGTTTACTCTCTTTAACATTTCAAGATCATCGATCATGTTATGGCATTGATCTAAGTTGATTCGTAATTGTGAAAAAAAAAACAGAAATTTTGACTTTACTCATTAACATTTTGGTCAAGATTACCATCTATACAATTAAGAAATTCTGTAAAGTTATATGTTCGGGCGAAAATATCAAGTAAGCAAGTTTTAAAAATATGTATTTCTTTATTTCCATTTCGACTGTATTCAATTTGAATCCATACTCATTTAAAATATTTGCAATTGAAAACCTTCTCGAAAGAGAAAACAAACACATAAATCAGAAAACCTTCGAGTTTTTTTTTTTTTTGGAAAAGAACTTATCAATGAAACGAAACTTAGTGTCCAAAAAATTGTGTTGCAAAATTGTATCGATGGAGAATTTATTTTTGTACTGATAGACCAATTAAAAATAATAACACTTCAGCCTTTTATTCACTCCAAGCCGTAATGCAAAAAACCAGATCAAGAGGCAAAACGGACATCAAAATTATAGGAGGAATCACATGGACGAATTTGCTGGGCATCAACTTTTTTGAAAATCCTTTTTTTTGTTTATTTTTTTTTAAACGGAAATATATTTATCGGCACTGTGGCATGAAAACTTGGAAATTTTTAATGTATTTTGTAAAAATTACTACCTATCTGAAATATTACGAAATATCAAAATATATCTTATAAATTTTCAATTAAAAGTATACGTCTTGACAGCAAAAATAGTGGGATTTTCTAACTCTTTTTTGGGTAACCGACAAAAATCTTCAGAATAAAAATGATTATAATTTCAATAATTAACGAATTTTTTCGGTAAGTTAGTGACCAAAATAAAGTAGCCGCTATATTCTAGAATACAGGTGGTCACATCGACATCGCTACTTGGACAATGAACTGTCAAACCGATTTTGGAATTAACAATTTTGAATGAAAAATAATAGGAATTTTTAAATATCGTTTAAAATTCATATCAGAACAGCGTCCCATTTGCGTCGTATAAGAAAACATATAAAAATCTTCTTATGTTTGACAAAACATTTTAAAAATTTTTGACATATCAATGTTCCCAAGCGTTGGTGCATCTACCTGCATTCTTCTACCATGGTCCTACCCATAGCAACAGTGCTGTGAACATTTATTTATTTTATATATATATATTTTGCGTTTTAATATCTTAAAGAGAATCGCCCTACAGATAGGCTTGCTATGTCGTCTGATGAATGCAAATCGATTGTACGCAACAACAAATTGCGATTGCTCGAAATGTTCTGGTTTTGTTCAATTGAAGTTCGAAATAGTACATTTTGTACTGTATGAAATAAATTATTTTAAAACTAAATACGTGTACAGTACCGGAAACATACTGTGCCATACAGTACTCCGTTCGATGTATTAAAATACAACCATGCATGCAAGAAGAAGCGAAGCAACGGTAACAAATATTTTCAGATAGTTTTGTTATCGAAAATTCCAACAACCCCTGTTTGGCCAAAAGTTTGTGCAAGTTTTCAAGTTGTGCTAGAGGAATTCATTTCGTAGAAATAAAATGTTTCAAGAACTTCATTGTCTTATAGTTAATACATTGCAAGAGAATCGGTGAAGCTGTGTCCGGTTAAGCAAGCTGAAAAAATTCGGATACCCCCCAGAAAGAACCTAACTAACCCAATAGAATTTAGTGTAATAGACATACGGACGGACGGACGGTGAAAAAATCGATAAAATCAAGGGGTATGTTAAGAGGCAAATAGACAACAATCCACCATATACCACATGTTTCTATATTGAATAAACAAATTAAAACTTATTATTATTGTTGTTGTAGTGGTTATCCAGCAGCCGGAGGAGGTTTCGAAAGGAATATACTATGAACCCATAATCAGAATCTGATTTGTTGAAAGAAAACAGGAAAAAACAGGGCCATAAAAATGTCCGAAAACTTGGAGTTGCGTCAATTTGTGGACGGACCCATCGTTCCGATAGTCTCCAATCGTTGGTTCGTACGCATGAAGAATAAACTAAATTGTCCCTATTTGGGCATCATTCTGGCCACATTGTCTTCGTTATTCTTCTCCCTCTGTTCTGTGATAGTAAAGGGGCTTGTGGATGTAAATCCCATGGAATTAGCTTCCTTTAGGTGAGTAGTTGCTTTGGCACTTTGCATGTCCGTCACTGACTAGAAACTATTTTAGGTTTATTGGCGTCCTCTTACCGGCCATACCCATATTAGTTTACACCAAGCAACCAGTATTCCCGGAAGGCAAACGCGTCATACTCTTGCTTCGATGTTTTATGGGCACCACGGGTCTGATGTTAAGTTTTTATGCTTTTCGAAACATGCCTTTAGCGGATGCCAGCGTTATAATATTCTCCACACCGGTGTTTGTGGCCATATTTGCCCGAGTGTTTCTGAAGGAGCAATGCAGTTTTTTCAACATAGTTACTATCGTACTGACACTGGTGGGAGTGGTGTTGATTACACGGCCGCCATTTGTCTTCGGCGATTCACCAGCAGCCTTGGAGGCGGAACGGTATGAGGGAAAACACTATGATATTTGGGGTCCAGTTGCAGCCATATCATCCACACTGTTTGGTGCCAATGTATACATATTACTAAGGGCCCTAAAAGGCCTACACTTTTCAGTCATTATGACCAACTTTGGGGCCTTTGCTCTCATATACACATTAATCGTCTGCGGATCGATTGGAGCCATTTGCTGGCCGGCTTGCGGCCGCGACCGATGGTTGGTCGTCGTCTTGGGCATTTTTAGTTTCTTGGGTCAAATCCTTTTGACCGTGTCGCTACAACTTGAGCAAGCGGGACCCGTTGCAATTGCTCGTTGTGCAGATATTGTATTCGCCTTTATTTGGCAAATGATGTTCTTCGGCGAGACGCCTACTGGCTATTCACTGCTGGGGGCTTTCCTAGTTGTAAGTTCGGTTATATTGACAGCTCTTAAGAAGTGGGCGCTGTCACTACCCCGAGAATCTACAGTAAGGAAACGACTGCGTTTTTTAATCTTCGATTAAGTAGAAACAAAAACCCCAACCTATCCATAATGACACATTAACCATTTCCAACTTAACCAATTAAGCGCATTGTGGTTTCTCTCATCTCTTGTAGTTATTAATAGCAAATTAATAAAACCATATGATAAAAAAAATCTTCATTGTTCGTAAGATATTATTTTAATCCGATTCATAGCTGACTATAAATGCGGCCAAAGCAAAATAATTTAGTGAATGTAGTCAGGTCAGAATAGGACAAATGCATCGGCAGCGAGACAGGAAGGTCGAATTGAGCCCAATACAATAACAATGAAGACATTATTTGTTGATGTTTATTAACGAATTTATTTTGTGCTATGTTATTCTTGATTTATTTTCATGATTGCCAGTGTTATCTACTTTTCTGCTTCCATCAGTCAATAGACCAGCAATTTTTAAATCCGCCTCTTCAACACGACCTTCGTTAGCTCGAATCTCTAATCTGTTAATGTTTAGATTATGATTATGAATTTATCTTTAATAGAAATACTTCTATTTACAAATGATGAATGTTTATATGTACGTACCTGTTCGCATTGTGATTCACATCCCAATGCAAAGGCAAGAATCTAGGCTTCATTGTGTTAAGAAAGTGGACTCGCCATATCTTTTCCAATTCGATCAAACCGCCCAACTTCTCCTGGAACATTTGAACGACTTTCTCTCCATGATGGCAGTAGTTTTCATTATTTTCTTTTGTATTCATTTCGGATGCGGACTGCAACAGTTCGACGTTTATTTCCGACTCGTTTTTGTAGTAGTCGAGTAATATATTTGTCAGTTCCTTGCGCCTAGCTTCATGTATTTTGTCACCATGATTTAGCAGAGCGCGGGCGGCTGATTTCACTTTTCTACAAAATATAAACAAAAAACAATCAAGTTACCGAGATTGGAGTGGCGTGGTGTTGGTGTTATTACTTTAATTCTGGTATTTCTTTGAATTTGATGGAGCAATCATCCTGGGTAAACGGAGCATCGCACATTGTACTGAGTTTGTGTCGGATCTTCAAATCAGATATGTTACTTATTTGGTGACAGGCATGGCACAATAGAAGCACATCGTGAGAAGTGTGCGTTTTCATGACGACTGAAAACAAAAAGATTTCTAAATCCCAATACAAATTGAACAAACGATGTGCAATTACCTGGAAAATGTTTGCGGTATTCACGAGGAACAACATTTTTCCGGATATAGGCATCCCTGTGACCACATACCACACATTGGTTTTCTTTTGGAGTTTGGTAGTATTTGCCAACATCACCTTCTGCGCGTCCAGCTGGCTCAAAGTTGAGCCGCACAGTGAACGGGTCAGAATTCACCTCCGATCCCAGATTTCTTTCTACGTACCACTGGGCTTTTCGTTTGTCGATGGTACACAGTAGCTCTCCATCCGGCGCTTCCAGTAGGCAATTGTCATATAAAACTTTAGATCTGCTTGAAGTCGTATATTTTCTTAGCTGCATCTTTTTCACATCGGATTCAGTCCGCTTTTGGCTATTTTGGGCAAGCTTTCTTACCTTGTTAGCATTGAATTTGGTGCTTGGATTAAAGTATCCTTCCTTGAAGGATGCCTCTAAGAATGGATCAAGTCTTGAGCGAATAGTTTCAAAATCAATTTTGTACAGCTGCCAAAAATGTTTTGGCAGGAGCTCCTTCGTTAACTTCTTGAATATTTCGACCGCTACCAAGGCATCGTTAGCAGCATAGTTCAATTGTTTTGGACTAAGCTCTGTTGCTTCCCAATCTGAACATACCAACCGCCAGTGTTTGTCCAACTCCACATTCAATACCGATTTAGACAAATTGGCCAAACCAGCTGGTTTTCGTCCTGTCATAGCAGCTAAAAAACGTAGGTCGAAAGTGCTTGCCACTCCCACACCGTAGTCATGACACAACTTCTTTGCATCTCCATGAGGATCGACCCCTACTTTAAGCACTTCGTCATCTTCCAATAATTCTCGCAGACTCTTAGGTATCTGCTTCATGCAACATAGTCTGAATAAAGCACATAGTCCCTTTTCCGATGACAGTTGTAACAAAGCCGCCGGGCGCCTGGTGCCACCTACAGTCACCCATTCGCAGTCAAATCCTAAGACCTTGAACGAGTGACAATCCCTGAAGAGTTTGCAACAAATCACAATCAGACCCGAATCAAATTTATATTGATGAAGAAACTGGCCACTCACTTCTTTAATTCGCCCACAATCCTGTGACAGTCATCGACCGTTTGAACGATTTCAATCCGCCTATGGCCGAGTGGATCCCTAAGGCGCTTGAGGTAACTGAGAATGCGCTCACGTCTGGAGGCTATCACGATGAACAGTCCTAGACCTGCCGCCACAATAGCGTTCTTCCTTGTTATCGCAAACCTCTCGCCATTGGCCATGTCCACTGCATTCACAAATCGAAAACTGGAGTTTCTCGGTGTTCTCGGAACTAGTAGGGATCAACAGATTGAAAAAGGAACTGTTTATGGTGTAATTATTAAAGGTAGCAGCAAACCCCAGCTGATTTGACTCTATAGTAATACTAGTGTCACGTTTTGTGATTTAATTTCATTTCTTGACATACAATAGGTATACATTTTTTATACGATCCACCATACATAGTTTGGAGGGTATATTAAGTTCGTCATTCCGTTTGAAACTCATCCAAATAATCATCTTAGACCCAACAAAGTATATATATTCTTGATCAGCGTAAAATTCTAAGACGATTTAGCCCTTTCAGTTCGTCTGTTGTAATCACGCTACAGGCTAAACGAATTAAGATAGAAGCTAAAATTTTGCCCAGATCCCTCTTTTGTCTGCAGGCAGGTCAAGTTCGAAGATGGGCTATATCGATCCACGATATCGTATAGCCCCCCCATATAACGGTACCCCCGATATCTGGTATTTTGATGATTTTAGCCACATTTTTCAATGGAATTGTATAAAAATCTACACAAGCAGTTCTGTAGGAGCACTTTATCTCTTGGCAGAAAATTATCTATATAGGTCCACGATATCGTATAGCCCCCATATAACGGTACCCCCCGGTATTTTGATGATTTTAGCCACATTTTCTAATAGAATTGTATAAAAATCCACACGAGGAGTTCTTTGTGGGTACTTTACACCCTGAAAGATAATTGTGTATATAGGTCCACGATATCGTATATCCCCCATATAATGGTACTCCCCGATATTTGGTATTTTGATGATTTTAGCCACATTTTGCAATGTAATTGTCTGAAATTCTACACAAGGAGTTATTTGTGAGTACTTTATCCCTTGGATGAGAATTATCTATATAGGTCCACGATATCGTGTAGGCCCCATATAACGGTACCTCCCGATATTCTGTATTTTGATGATTCTAGCCACATTTTCTAATAGAATAGTCTGAAAATCCACACGAGGAGTTATTTGTGGGCACTTTACCCCCTGAAAGAGAATTGTCTATATAGGTCCCCGATATCGTATATCCCCCATATAACGGTACCCCCTGATATTCGGTATTTCGAGAATTTTAACCGCAGTTTTCGATGGAATTGTCTAAATTCTACACAAGGGGTTACTTGTGACCACTTTACCCCCTGAAAGGGAATTGTCTATATAGGTCCAAAATATCGTATAAACCCCATATAACGGTATGCTATACAAGGTGTTATTTGTGAGTACTTTATCCCTAGACATAGATTTGTCTGTATAGGTCCACAATATCGTTATCCCCCATATATCGGCACCTTCCGAAATTTTAACAGAATTTTTAATGGATTAATTCGTTCCAAATGGTGGAGGGTATTCAAAGTTCGGCCCTGCCGAATTTACTGCTTTTTCACTTGTTTGATATAAAATTTCACAGAATGGCAATGTGAACATATTTTTTGATTAATAATATAAAATTTCGCTGTTATACTTAACAAAACGCGAACGGCGATGGTGCCGAAACTTTTTACCGCGATTAAGGAACAGCGACTCCATATTAGGTAATATAGTCGCATATTTCAAATTTCCTAAAATTGTAAAATGCATAATATTTGATGTGTATAATGTTAACCAAGTATAAGGTCACCCTACCCAGCCAGCTGACTACCAAATGTAATGTCAAAATGCATTATTGTGATTGAAATCACAGAACAAGAGATAAACAAATACCCAACAAAGTGTGACATTTAATCTGGTTTTTAAAATTTACAAGAACACCTTGTTATTGCGACATGGGATCAACCTAGTCACCCTGTCAAGCCAGCTGATTTCCAAATGTAATGTCAATACGAATTATTGTGATTGAAATCACAAAACAAACAACAACAGCCAAAAAATAGTAAACAAAATTTGACATTTGCAGGAACCCCTTGTTATTGCGACATGGTAGCGCAACAACGGGTGATTTTATTTAAAACAAGATGAATTAATAAAGTTTGGCACATAGCCAAGCAAATTTAATGCCAAAGAAAAAAGGTAGGGTAAAATTACAGAAATACAGTCATGTGCCTATGCAACAAGTTGTTTTCATATATATGATATTTGTTTTTATTTTTAAAATGAGGAAAATATTGTCGCGCTCATAGTACAATTAAGAAGGTACAGTCATGCTATCATATGTTTACATTTTTCTTTCAAAATAATTCATTTGACAACATCTCATTGTCAAAATGTATATCCATTGTACATACACAAATCTGGGAGAGTTTTCCATGTAGTGAAATTAGACAAGCTAAATTACAGAAAATGCAAAGATGGGAATGCTTATTTGAAATGACTTTACCTTCCTAATTTTATCATGGTCGCGCTAAAGAAATGCGTGCTTTTTCCTTCAAAAATATAATCTTAAAAATTATATGCTTCAATTACAATGCAAAATTGGCAAAATAGCACCTGCGATGTACGTTTCTTTCTATTAAGGCCTACATAAGGTCGACCAAGAAGTCAACTTTTGACAGTAAACTTAGTAGTTTTTGCACTATTGTGATTCGACTCTCATTGAATTTCAAATCACAATTATGTTTTTTACAGCTTTCAAAAACATTTTCATTGCATTTGTACCATTCTTCGCAATATTCGTCGGAAGTACTTATATTCGTGATCATTATAAGCCTATTAAACGATGTTCGTCTGTTCCGTCCATCGACTGAAATGAAGGTAGAGCTCGCACCATTAAAGATGGAACTTTGAATTTCGCTTAACATCGCTTTTTCTCGTACAAATTGCACTTGTTCCAGTTTACATTTCAACCGTTATATGATTTAGAGACGCAATTTCGTGCATCTATTTGCTCTCTCCTTTATCCACTTTAATTCTTTTTATCAGCCCATTCTCCATTTCATAGATCCACAAATTGATAATTTCTTTCAATGCACAAAGAATGTACGTAAAAGTTAAGTTGGAAACGCAAAGTCTGAAATCGCCACAAAAGGTAGGGTTGTATTATATGTATATATTCTTAAAACCTATTTATCTATTATTCATGGCATATAGAAAACAAATTATTTTCCTATTGACGACGACTCCACATTAGCAGCGCTAAAGAGGAGAATCGAACAATATGTAAACGTGCCCGCAGATCACCAGGAAATTCGTTCAATAGCAGAATCATTTGACAGCAGGGATTCGACTTTTATCAAAGATGTTTGTGATTTACAAAGTTCATCGACCCTATTGCTATATTCCTATGACAATCTGAGCATATACGATGAGCCCCGTTTCGTTTGCTTTCTACAAATAATCAGCGATAAAATGGCGTTGCAACAACAAGAAATGGAGGAAAAGGTTGTTAAATCAGCTAAAAAAGTTACAGCCGCCAGGGAATTGAAAGCCACAGACACTCTTATAATTGATTCTGAATCAACCAGTTCTAGTGAATATTCTGAAAGCGAAACCAGTGACACAGAATCGGATAGTTCTTCGGAGGGAGAATGTAAGAAGCGTCAAAAGTTATTTAAGACGATAAATCACCCAAAAAGGTAGATCCATTGAAATGTTTTTGATCACCATATTATAACAAGAACGTTCAATTCTTTTAAATAGGCAGAAGCCGTCTACGGCCGAAAATAATCTTTCACCAACTTTATGCAAATATCTTGAAGAATTTCCGAACTGCGAAAGTTCAAACAAAGAAAGCACACGTCTTTGTAGAAATGAATCTTCGGACGCGTATTCAAAGGGTAATGCTATTCTGCAAGAAACCGAACAAAGTTCGACCCAAGATGTTGTTAATAAAATTGAATGTGCCACAAAACCTCCATATTTAGAAACCCCAAAAACTTCGAAATTGTCTAGCAAAGTTGATCATGCATCATCTCCATCAATTCAGTCACGAGTAACTTCTACAACTACCGATAGTAAAAATCCCTGCCGTAACCTGCACCCCGAATACCGTCAATATATGGTAGTTACATCAAACAATGACGGTGACATCAATGAGACAGAGTGCGAGGCATTCCTGAAATGGTTTTTTGACAGATTTCGTCTTTGTGACACCTTAGATAAACTGCAATTCGGTAATGAACCCATAACACTCCACAACGGGAAGTTGTGGATTTCTTGTTGGAATGAGACCACATTCAATTGGATAATGCTCAATGTAAACGAATATCCTAAAAATTTTGATATTGCAACGTTGAAGGAAGAAATTCTTTGTGAGGTAGTTATACCTATGGCATCGAATGACAAAAACTTGCTCGATATCTTCGATCTGTTGGAGAAACAAAATTTAAATTTGTGCACAACAAAGTGGTGTGTAATAGATCGTAAACTACTTGACAGCGGTCCTTCAAATGCAGCAGTATGCCGGAACGAACTCTTTAAAATACATATTGATTCGGAGAGCAAAGAGATGCTGCAAAAGTTCAATTTAAAACTTAAATATTTTTTCTGGCAAATAACATTTAAGTTTTTAAATATATAGTTTACATAGATATTATGTAAAAAGTTTTAACTTAAAGTATGTTTATATATAAAATCTCTACCCGGATTAACCCTGATAATTGATCATTCACAATAAATTTAATGTATATTTTCTACGGTCAAACTTCTTGTGATAGGTCAATTGTCATGGTTAATCCGGGTAGAGACTTTTACTGATCAATTATCTCTGTTAACATAGGTTATATGTAAACGCTCTATTATATTATTAAATATAATTTGCATAAATCTGAAGTGTTTGAAATCAAGATATATGTTTTAGCACATTTGCAAGATAAAGTATAAATAAATATATTTTCAATTTAAGCAACAAATTTTACGAAAACATCCTTTATATAAAGGACGCTATATCCAAATCTGAAATTAGAAGAATTTTCTGAAAATACGCAGGCATGTTATATTTAAAGCAAATTTACATACAAAGTTTCTACAAGGGTTAACCCGGATAATTGATCAATCATAATAATTTTAGTGCATGTTTTCTATAGTCAAATTCATTGTTAATGGTCAATTATTAGGGTTACCTGTGGTAGAGCGTGCTAGATTCTAATTAAAACAGATAACAATATATTTATACCATGTAACAAATTCATAACATTATTTTATTAATATCAATAAAAACAAGTAAGCAAAGGCTACTGTCGAGCGGGGCCGACCGTTGAATACCCTACAACACTATAATAAACGATACAGTTTATATAGGCGAGATACTCGAAAGAATTCCACAAGATTTTTTGACAAATAATAAAAGAAAACCATCAGGTTTCGTTCTCTAATTTTCGAATAATAGCAACTTTAACTAATTTGCTCATTTCCAATTTATTGGAAGATGTTGCACGTAAATGGTCTTCCTAGATCTGGAACCAATATTTCCCAAACACCTATAATCTCTCAGAAGTGGCAAAAGATTTACATTTATTATTGGTTTTTGACTGAAACGCACGGAATCAGCGTTAACGAAGTAGTCATAAGTGAATTCTCCAAAAAGTCACTGGAATGGACATTTTCGTATTTTGTCTACAAAAGTTGGCAAACTATTTCGCACATTGAATATTTTTGGATGGCCATCCAAAACTGCTTGGCTTTTGCAATGTCCGGTAACCCCCATTCAAATGTGCGTGAGGGTCGGCCGATAATTACGACCTGCTGACGATTTTGCAGTTTTTTGGTCCATTTCAACCCCTAAATATATGGCGATCATCTCCAAAAAGAGTAGGCTTCTATTCTGACCCTCATCTGATCCCCATGCAAAATTTCATAAGGATCAGGGCATAAATGCGATCTGTATATGATATCCTGATATCCAAACTACTTAGTTTTGTTAGCTGTAGAAATATTACCAAATGTTTAATTCGAAATGAAAATATGCCAAAAATATGACAAAATTGAAAAAATATGAGAAAATATTACAAAATCAATATTTTCATCTTTAGAGAGATATTTTTATGCGATTTTTTTAGACGCTTTTTCTTTCCTGCCAACTGTCGAAATTAGTTCAGCCGTTCTCGACATATAAGATATCTTTCAAGCATATCTTCTTTGGTAGACATATATATCGCACATATTTTGCTATATATCCGTTTTGTTGGATGTTAACATCAATGTAAAGATCAGGAGTAACCTTGTCATGGCTTTGTGATTTCGCCGCTATTTAAAATATTCGCGGTTTAATGAAAATTTTTGAATTTTTCAACACAAAATATATGGTCTATTTTACCCGCTAAATATTATCCGATGACCACGCAAATTGGTAGGCTTCTGCCCCGCCCTAAGCTCTAGCTACATGCGAAGTTCCGCGTCGATTGGTCTATAATTGCGACCTGTATAGCTACTGCAAAATCCGACATTTTTTCAGTTTTTGGTCCATTTCGACCCCTAAATATTATGCGATCATCTCCAAAAGAAATAGGGTTCTATTCTGACCCTAGCCCTACCTAAACTCTAGCTACATGCGAAGTTCCGCGTCGATTGGTCTATAATTGCGACATGTATAGCTACTGCAAAATCCGACATTTTTTCAGTTTTTGGTCCATTTCGACCCCTAAATATTATTCGATCATCTCCAAAAGAAATAGGGTTCTATTCTGACCCTAGCCCTACCTAAACTCTAGCTACATGCGAAGTTCCGCGTCGATTGGTCTATAATTGCGACATGTATAGCTACTGCAAAATCCGACATTTTTTCAGTTTTTGGTCCATTTCGACCCCTAAATATTATTCGATCATCTCCAAAAGAAATAGGGTTCTATTCTGACCCTAGCCCTACCTCCATTCTAAATTTCATGAAGATCGGGTCATAATTGCCTGTAGAGTGATTACAAATTAACATGGACAGACGGACGGACGGACATATACTTTCCTATGTGGGAAATCAATATTTCGAGGTGTTATATAATTTTTGGCCCAATCAAACTTATAATACCCCCAACACATAGTGTTGTAGGGTATAAAAATATGAAATCAAATATGAGTTAACCCAGAATCGTATTCTTAAAAATTCCTTCTGTGTGTGTCTCTAAAAAGGCCTCTGGGTATATGGCCTCAAATTACAGCCTTTCTGTAGTCATTTCAGGCTGCATATCACAGCATGTTATTATTTCACTGAATAGTATTACCTAGGAAGAAGAAGAAATAACATTAAATTAAATTGTTTACACTGATATCCCGAAATGTCCTTTCATTTAAGCACAAAAGAAAGGCTGCTCCTCTTAATAGATGACATGGAGTTAATTGCCAAGTGAGTTTCAGTACGTCATATGGCAGCAAACCCTTATTAAATATATTTCAGAGAATTAATAGACAATCTTTTGCCGAAACACCAAAAGTCCACATCTGAGCACACAGCGCTAGTTGATTTACTCGTGGCCAAAGATGAGGAGTTTCGCAAGATGTTGGAATTAGCCGATGAACAAGCTAAACTAAAACAAAAGATGGATGAACTGAAAGCCAAAGTGGATGTTCAGGTAATACTGATGCTATGAGAACTCTGAGGCAATTTATTGCAAGATCATTATATATTTCAGGACAGAGAAATACAGAAACTTCAGAAATCGCTCAAGGAGGCTGAACAAATTCTGGCCACGGCTATCTTTCAAGCGAGGCAAAAACTTGCTAGTATCAAACAAGCCAACAAACGGCCTGTTTCTTCTGAAGAATTGATTAAGTATGCTCATCGTATAAGCTCTGCAAATGCTGTTAGCGCTCCCATAACTTGGTGCATAGGCGACGTGCGACGACCATATCCAACAGATATTGAAATGCGCAATGGATTTCTGGGTAAATCTGACCTAAATATAAATGGCGGCGGGGTTGTACACCAAAATAATATGACGGATAATCAGCGCAGCGTCAATGAAGTTCCCAATGCGTTCCAAAATCAGTTCAATTGGACGAACATGGGTGAATTGCATATGTCCATGGGTTCATCGGGCAATTCAGTGGCTTTAGAGACACGTTCACACAAAGAAGCATCCCAAGATGATGTTGAAGTTATGTCTACAGACAGTTCAAGCTCTAGTTCTAGTGATTCTCAGTAATAAATTATATTATACATTTGAGTTGTTTCCGACTTTCAATTAGTTTTACAGTTGTTGGAGCCACTGAAACGTATGATTCTCGAGGATTAAAAACACCTGAATCAACACGAAAACCCACAATTTTTTCCGCACACGCAGTCGAAAATGGCAAAAGCTATCTATCTTCCGTCAAAGCAGGGATAAGGCCCAACCGCTCTAAAGAATTGCATTTTTGCGTATTTTTTTTTTACGCAAGGAAACAGACGTATGCCTTGCAATTTAATTTTTATAGCGCAAAATTAGTTCTTTAAAGGTATAATACAACGTTCAATGTTTATTATCTGAAAAATAATGAAATTATTGGCTTTGTAACTATTAAGATAACTCATATTTCCAGTGAAGAAAGCAATGTTGAGTTACTGAGAGTTTGCAAAAATTAACTCAGTAAGAAATATCCAGTATTGAGGCCGTTGCAATAGAGTAGTCATTTATAGAAGTTTTTGGAACCGTCCGTGGCTAGGTGACTGAATATAAATAAATAAAAAAAATTACAAATTTCAGGCAATAATTTACTTATTTTTCAGATAATAAGCGTTAAACACTGTATGATACCATTTAGTAACTAGTATTCCACTAAAAATATAGCAAATTTGATTATATTTTCTTAATGATCTCAAAATGTAACGCACTCGGGGTGTTCGATAACTTCTGACAATATTTCCTCAATAAACTTGGCGGTGTTTTTATATTTGTTTCTTAGAAACATGCTGGTGCTGGATAATTCTTACTGAGTGAATTTGTCCAGGAAGACTAATGGGGAAATTATTCTCGCTTTCATTTACTGGACTTACGGGTTATCGAACAACATTTTGTAATATTTTGTACAAAATATTAGTTCTGTTCCAGTTCCTGTAAGAATCTATTAATTTTGCAATTTTTTTCCGATATCATAAAGAGAAAATCGATTATCGTAGTAAAACATTTTACATTCTTACAGTTCTGGAACAATCCATTAGTGTTATTGTAAACATCTGTTATGTCTATTAGATGTTTTTTGGATGTTTGCATTGGAGATTTATGAGAATTTATTTGATTGCGGAAATTGGAGGCAAATAAGAATTTGGTGTATTAATGATTACCGTTAATTAGTTAATTAACCAAACGCAAAGCCCCATTTAATAGGAGTAGAAAGGGAGGTGCGTTTTTCGACAAAAAAAAAAAAAAGCAACTGCAAAAGAAGTTTATGAACACAACTATTATTTTAGTGTCACCGGGACGCTTTTCTTTCGATCGGGTGTTTTATAAAAAAGTCAATTTGCAAATACGCGGTAAGACTAGCTCTTTTGCTGTTGAAAAATATATTTTTTATTGAAAATAACCAGAAAATTAACATCTACAGACGTATTGTTTAGTCCGCCTTGTGTGCGGGTTTTTTGGATTGGCCTTGGACCGAAAATTTTACATTCTCTTTGATTTTTAGATTTCAGTTTAGTTCGAGAGTTGTTATTTGCGCCAAAATGTTTAACAAGGTGCATGTTTTGGCTGAAGGATATTCGAAAGCAATCGGAAATTCAAATGATATGCGTGCAAATTGCTCCTGCACTGTAATACAAACAACAGGTGGCCACAACATCATAGTGGACACCATGACTGCTTGGGATGGCCAAGTGGTTTGTGATGGTTTACAAAGGATTGGTCTGCAGCCGCAAGATATCAACTATGTTGTCTGCACTCATGGGCATTCGGATCACATTGGATGCAATTATCTTTTTACATCGGCGGAATGGCATATTGTTGGCAGTTGCATCTCACATCGTGACAAATACCCAGACTATGATTTTGGAAAACCCTACAAGTTAGAAAACGATGATGTGGTGATTATGAGAACCCCCGGGCATACGCTCAGCTGCGTTTCAGTAGTCGTTTACAATGCAGATCCTGAACTCGGTGGTATAGTCGGAATTTGCGGCGATCTCTTTGAGCGCGATGAAGACGTTTTTAACCAAGAAATATGGTTAAGTGCTGGCTCTGAAAATCCCCAAGTTCAGAGAGAAAATCGTTACAAAATTGCTGATATATGTTCCTATATAATACCTGGTCATGGCAAAGGCTTTCATGTAACAGACGAAATCAAAGAGAAGTTGTGCTTGAATTTAAATGAAAATACGGAATAAAATTGCTGGTGCTCAGACAAAACATACGGATTACTTTTGGAATCTTTAAATGAATATCAAGGAAAGGCCAACAAAGAAAATAATGACTGATTGAAATTGCGTTAGAAAGCAAGTAAGTTGCATATTTTTAAATCGCAGTAGTAGTGTGTTGTGTATTTGGTTTATCTTTACATATGTATGTATTACCAACAACAGATTGGAACGAGTTCAATGTAATGTTTTTACGGCATATTTTGAAACGATTACAACATGACAATAAAAAAGACTTTTAGTTTCAAAAATCGTCTAAAATTCGAATTCCACAGAACGGATTTCATCCATCCATTCTAGAGTTGTGCCGTTTCGGAACGAACTAGTTGAAACAAACAATCGTAATTATATCCAGTTCTTTCATCTAGTTATTTTGTCTAATTTAGATATTTTTGGCTTTACTTTTAAGTAACCTCTCGTGATCATATGACTCATAACATGATGTGTAATATGACATACATATGACTCTAACATGATGTGTAATCTGACCTGTAGTTAACAGCTATGTATAATGGAAGAGATAAGATTATGTAATTCCATCAACTCCTTTGTTATGATTGTATTTCTAGAAATTTTTAGGTTTTCTCTTTTTATTTTTAAAGTAGCCTGTTTTTGTAAAGTCTTGTGTGTGAGAATAAATGTCCACTACAATACTATGGAGGATATTAAGTTTGTCTTTCCGTTTGTAACTATTCGACATAAGCAAAGCACGTCGCACCAAATATGCCTTGTGAGTCGAGGCCGCATCGAAGGACGCATCGAACAGTAGCGGTTGTGTCCCTCTGGCTTTCCATCTCACTGCAAATTTCAGATCATTAACCATGTCTCGAAAGAAAAATAAACAAATAAAATGTTAGTGAAATGTACATATTTTAGGACCTAGATACTTTTTGGGCATATAGGTTGGTGGGTATACCAGGTTTTATTATCGCTTTTTTTATTATAGATTTTGTCACAGCCTTCAATTGAATTTTCATAAATTGATAGTCGAATCCTTGCGAAGAACTGTCGTGGCATAGACCCATATAACGGTACCTTGTTTCCCAGGTCTTTGGAATTCACAATGGTTACCATCTTCTATGGCAGAAAGTTGGTTATTCTATCCACGTTTTCGTAAAACCTTCATATGACTCTACCTTTCGATTTTCGATATTTTGATGATTTTATGTTTAACATAACTGCCAATTTGCTTATTAATTTTTTTCTTTAATTCATTTTTTGCTCATAATGAAAGAGTTGGGCATAAGTCCTTCGAATCTTCATCACCCAACATTTATTTTCATAGCCCACCATAACTTTCCCTGTGCTTCGCCCAATCCATTTGTAATAAAAACACAAAACTGATTTATAATTTTATAACAATTTGTTTTTAATGTATGTAGAGTTTCTTTCTTTTTCTTTATCATTTCATTAATTTAAATTAATTTTTGTCCAAATATTTGTTTGTTTCATAAAACTTTGTTTTTCTCTTGTTCTTGTTCTTTTTCATCTCTGAAATGTGTTAGTGTTTTCTTATAAAATAAAAAATACTTGCCTAAATTGTATATACAAATGAATTAAATTTTCATATCACGAATGTGGTAAAACAAAGATACTTTTTTACATTGAATTGCTGGAGAGGTTTAAAAATGTCATCTGACTTAAGTTAATAACAATATCTTAGATTGCAGCTAACAATGTACAATAGTTATTGTTCATTCCCTCGTATGCGTATAAATATTTTGGAATCTTAAATAAGTTAACGGTACCTCTATAAATATGTACAAAAACTAAAAATTTACTAGTTTAGGAAATTAGGAATTTAATACATTTTTGTTTTCTTGACCAAGTGTGGAAGTTTCAAAGCCCTTCCTTATTTGCGAAGGTGTTGTGCTTATTTGGTGAGCGGGCGGGCTGGCGGAAATTACCAGGATGGGCGGAGCACCGAACCGCGGTCACAAACAGATGTCTTCACAACCTGAGCGTGTTTCTTATGCAGGGTTTATTAAAAATTAAGATGGCTATTTGCCTTTGAGGTGGCATATCCATGGGGGAAATACTTGTTGCGGACGTGGAGGGCAGAGGTGCAAGCAGGAACCATTTTGACATTAATGCATTTCCATTTACAACTGATACTAACTGCCGACCATGATGTGAGCTGGTTGCTCGAGGTCATTGTCGTAGCGTGCCGATGTAACCGGTGTTAGGCTGTTCTTGAACAGATCGTCGGCGGATGAGTATTTACAGCTGGGCGCTAATTCGGTGAATTCAGTGCCCAGACCGAATTCCATGTCGAGGAAACCATATTCCCAGGTCGAGGAGGAATTCATGCTGCTGGCATACGAAGAAGTGAGAGAATGAGTCGCCGACGATATAGTGGAGAGTGTGGTGAATGTTGCTGTGGTAGTGGCGGAAGGCGGTGTTGTCGAGGCATTACTGCAAGCGTTGGAACACGACAATGCTGCACCAGAGGATTGCACCGTGGCGAATGTACCACTGATGGCTACCGAGGATGATGATGAGGTGCTGGTGTCACCGGTAACAACGGTGGACGTCACCGACACAGGAACAGCTGTAGCAGGGTTGGCGGGAGGTAAAATGGAGAATATGTCGTTATTATTTAGGGGGTCTAAGGCGGATTGTGAAGACAGACTCAGCACTGAGCTCCAATTAATGGATCTCGTCGATTCGTCGTCCGCGTAACCAGAATCTGTATCGGACATTAGTGAGCTGCCGGATGATGAGACGGTCGCACAGCTGGTACTACCAGTGCTCACTGATTGTGCTTGAGATGGCGAAGATGACATCGACGACGATGACGCTGTAGACGCTGAGGCAGGTGATGGCGGGGGAGTTGATATCACAGATTGGCAGGGGAAAGGGGTGACACGACCCGAATTAGACTCCCGGAACGGGTAGTGGTCGTAAGGATGCAACGTTGTTGTGGTGGCATTGGACATAGACACCGCGCAACTGTTGTTACTCTGAGAGAACTGAGCTGAGACAGTTGCAGGCTTCTGTACCGAGTTTTGGAAGGATGGTTGAGAGATGTCAATAACTCGCTCAGAGAGATAATGTGACTGTTGCTGGTGAAAAGATTGCGAATTGGATTGTTGATGCTGCTGCTGTTGTTGCTGGTTGTGATATTCAACATTTCCTCCCAGCCTGCCGCAGTTTAGGACAGGCATATAGTCCTGATGCTGGGGATGCAGCATTGGCTGTTGGTTATGGTGATGCTGCAGCGACTGCTGTTGATGACCATTGCCATTGTGCACGGGCGACTGTATTTGCATGTGAGAGTGCAGGTGATGGTGATACTGAGGCTGTTGATGAATGGAATGCTGCAGATGGTGCTGCTGCTGTTGAGCCGCATGGGCCGTGGCTTGGTGCATCTCCTTGGCTTCAGCTTCAATTTCCCTATCGATTCTCTTCAGTGTGTTGCAGATCAATACAGATCTGTGGAGCGATTGCTCAGACACTTGCCGGAACCTGGACAACTTGAACATAGACAAGTTGCGTATCTTTAGTCGAATATCCTTGTAGCAGTTCTTATTGTTGCTGCACCAGGTGCCACGCCCATCACAGCACCGTTTCATGGGAGGGTGTCTGGCCTCGAGAGCTGCACCCATGAATGGCGAAGTGGGCTGAAGAACTGAGCTGATGCCGGAATTGGGGGCTGGGCTGCTGCAACCTAATTCCAAATAGGATTTGCCATTTTCTGCACAGCGGATGGTTTGTTGTTGTGGCTGTTGTGCGCTATAGCTTGGGTCGGACGAGGCGTAGAAGGATGAGTTGTTAGGACCAGCATTGGTCCAAACAAAACCATTAGGACTGTTGTTTCTCATGTGAGGCTGGCTACCCGTTCGGGAACAGTTCTGTTGTGGGAAGGGTTCGGAATAGTAGTTGGGCCTAGATCCATAGCTTTGCGCAGACGATGGTGGGAAGTTGCCATTCATTCGCGAGCCCTGCAGGCTGGATGACGTTGGTGAATTTGACGAGGGGAATGTGTGGTATCTCAGCGGACAATATGTTGGAATAATACTTTCCTCTTCCTCGTAGTCATCTTCAAAATCATCGTCGTCATCATCTAGCTCATCCGCACTGAGCAGGGTGGTGGCCAAGGTGGACCGAGTGGAAATACTGCCCCATGGATCGCTGGGCACAGCCACCGCTTGCAGTTTGGATATGCAATCAACTGGTTCGGGAGTCGACGTCCATGGTTCGCACGCTACATTGGCTACCACCTCAAGTTTGGCTATGCTGTCTTCCGGCACGGGCGTTGTAGAGGTGGGCGGCAAGGGTGTGGTTTTGTCAGCTTCTGTTGCAGCAGTGGGCAAAGCAGTCGCCACTAGATTGTTTAGAATTGTCGCACTGGCTGCTGGCGATTTGGGAACTTCTTTACCATTTCTAAGACTAATAGACGATGCACTGTTGCAGGAAAGCTGACAGTTTTTATTTTCGTTATTGTTATTCGCCGATTTGCTGCAGCCATTGGTGAGCTGTGCAACCTTCTGCTCTTGCGCAGCGTCGGCGTAGTTGTTGTTGTTTAGTGACCATTTGGTGGCTTTAATTGGCGGTGGACAGTTTGTGTAGGTGTTTGTGTCCTTGGAGTCAAAGGTTAAATCGTGTTTCCGCTTGGTAGCGGCTGTGGCTTGTAGACCCATGGCGGAATTAACCTAAAATGAAAAGAAATAAAGAAAACATCAATTTAGTATAGGTTTCCAGCAGTGCGTGTTCATTCTTAAATTTCAAATTTCAAAAAGTCGTACATTCTAACTTTAAGCCGTTACAAAGTTCCGCTGCCCTAATGTTTTCCTATTCCAACAGGAGGGTTGGTTCGTTTGTTGATTCACTAAGCCCAATGACGCAGTTGGTTGGAACAAATGCTAGAGACTCTTTTTTCTGGCTTTCACAGTCGTTAAGCCATCCATCCACCCATCCTTCTCTTCCTTACGACCGACCAACGGAATACAATATTATAAGGGCACAGAAAGACGTAAAATTAATGTAGAACGCAGGAAGATGATGGTGGCAGCGAAGACGGCGACGCCGATGACGAGAATAATTTCAACATTTCACCAAACAAAAAACACCATCCAGAGGAAAGGAAAATATAATGGAAATGTTTCTTCCATTGTGTTTATGAGTTGCCATATGCCGTTGCCCTGCTGTTCTTCGTTCATCTTGTCGTTGCTGTTCTTGTTCTTGCTCTTGTTGTTATTGTACTTTCTTATTTCCAACTTCTGACTATAGCTGGCTGGCTGATTGCCTGCCGCCTGCCTGCCTGCCTGCCTGTGAGAGTTTTAAAGGGATTTTGTTCTATGGGTACGACGACGGCATTTACAATTCCCTTCGCTACTACGGGGTGAGTTTTGTTCGAATCGATTCTGAGTAGAGTTCTAGTTACGAGTATCCATGCTACTGCGACGGCTAAGCTGTCATGGCACGGCATGTGTTATTTTCCTTGACGTGCCTTTTTGTGTGCGAGCGAGCTCTTCTTTTGTGGAAAGGTTCTTTTTGGCATTTCGCTCCAAGTTGATGGCAATGGTGGTGGTTTTGGTAGATGGGATGATGGTAGAAATCGAATTTCATTTCATCCCCTACTTCGCTTACTTCATCCGAAACATGTTAGGTACACAATGCTGCCACAGGAGTAGTGAAAATAATTTACCATCCCAGTCGGCTTAACACATGAAGGCGGAACAGGCACAACGGTTTATTTCGACTGAAACGGCCTTCCTCCCTTTGTTTAGTCGGTCGCCCGTTTGCTTGTTGTACCGCTGTGTGCACGTTTTTTTTCTGTTGTTGTATTCAAAGAATACAACAGCAGGCGAAAGCCCTTATTCTGCCGATAGTCTCGATATGTATGTGGATGAATGATTTAGAAGAGATGTATTTTTGTTTCTTCTATCTGCCCTTTTTGGGAATATGTGGCTGGGTGCGTTTGTACGATACGCATTAAATAGACACAGCCACGCACATAAACAACAATCCCAAAGAAGATTTTGTGTAGGTTTTGTGAGTGCGTGTGTGCTACGTTAATCAAATCATGAGACGTTGCTACATTCGACATTCCTTGCCGATGGAGAGGGAGATTACAGACTCCAGTTGTAATGGAACAAAAAAATGTGCACATTTGTTTTGTTTCAAAATTATGTAAAGGGAAGGAAAGCAAAGATGGGTGTGTGGATGGGTGGTTGATCCTTATATTGAACGCCTTGCCTGCCCTATCATTTGAAAATGAAAATAGAAAATGCTAAGCATTTTTAGTAGGAACTCAATCGATCAGAGGTTCCAGTTCAAATAAGGGAAATGGAACTAGCCGGAGATCGGTATGCTCATCAAAGCGCAATAAAACAACTAGTGGAGTATCACAGAATGGCACAACCCAACAACGGTTGTCTAAAAGCCCAACTCGAAATTCATCATCGTCATCATCATTGCCATCACCACCACACCATTGTTGTTATCGTCAACGGCAGAGATTTGTACCGACAAAAGAGACAGCACAATAATGGCTAGCCAGCCACCAAGTGAGTGATCTTTTGAATCGGTTGCTGTTGTTGTGAACGACTTTGAGGCGTTGGTGAAACCCGCTTTCGTCGAACTCGAACATTAGCTGACGCTATTTTACCTGCCCGATGTTTGATGTTTTTGCAAAGTACCCTAGTGGACATAACGAGCCAGCCAAACGCAAATAGCGCTGCTTATTTTTCAAAGACTTTGAATTTTTTGTTTTTAATGTTGGCCAACAACGCTGAAAAGAAAGAAACAAACAAAAACGCCATATAGTCAGCCAAGCGGCTGGAACTTTGATTCGAGCTCTTATAAAATTCGTATGGCTTTTTGTTTTCGAAGCAATGAAACTGGTTTTGTTTGCGCGTTTCGAAGAAACCAGCTTGTCGATGCGACCACAAGTCGTTAGACATCACCAGCCAGTGAGCAACATCATTTACTTGGCTGTTGGCGGGTCGGTCCATTGTATGAAAGTATAAAACAAAATCAATGCTGTTGTATGGAGCTGGCGATGATATTTCGAGATGATTTTTGCAAGCAATTTTACCACCGACTGGTTTGTTTTGTTTTTTATTTGGTCTGTTGGCCTTCCTTAAGCCAAACTGTTTGTGGCAACTCTACTCTTAACTCTATAATATTTGTGAGAGTTTTCCTTAGCTAATCAATTATCACCGGAGAATTCTTGCCAGGGTTGTCTATCGGGGATCTTAAAATCTCTTCCCAGCAAGATACTTATTTGTTTGTTTTATTTCAAGGTCTCGATATCCGTTAACTACCTGGTCATTGCAGTTGATACCTGTTACCAGTAATCCTTTGTTCATTGTAACAGGTAATCCATGGTTGTTTGTTTTACCTGTCTGGACAAAATGACCCAGTCATTAGGGACGAATAGGGTCCGATTCAAATTTCTTTTAAATGATCGGAATATCACTCTTGTTAACCTTTGGACGGCATGTCGAAATGAGATTCAAAGAATGCCATTGCTGATCTGTGCGAAGATTTGTACCTAATTCATCACATGATGAACGAACCTCAATGATCAAAAACATCTACTTCGAATGACAACCACAAAAGCGTTGGATCATCAAAACATTAAGCGACGTCAGTCCTCCATGTTATAACCAACTTTATTTCAGCTTTAAATGAAAACCAGTGGAAAATGCGAAAAATGAAATATTTTCACATTTTTAAACCACACAGACACACTCGAACATACCCACGTACAACGAGCACTCGTATACATATGGACAAAATACGTATGCACGTACGTAGGTATGTTCGTCGTGTATTTGTGTGGATATAATACATTAACAGAGATTGGTTTTTTTTTCATTCCCAACATACCTACTACAGCCAACAAAATCAACAACAGTAGTCAGCTATTCGATGGTTAACGGCGGACAGACCAAACAACAAACCGTCGTCGTCAGCCATCCAGCCAGCCAGCCAGCTAACGACGACCGTCCCCACCATCAATTTGCAAAGTGAAACTCAGGCCTGATTTTGTGTTACACCGAGAGAAAACAAGTCGGTTTTGAATTTGCTACCCCAGAGTTCTGAGTTTTGGGTTTAAGCATATAGGAATAGCAAAGCACCATTAAATTGTACCTATTATTTTGAGGAACATAATCGTCGACTGGGTTTTGAACCCAATAGTCTTTCACAATGTTAAATGCATTTAAGAAAATTCTTTTTTGTTTCGCTTTCAAATTTACAGTGTACTTATTTTGAAAGTTCCGAGTAGATGACAAAGAAGAATAAAAAAATGAAATAAACGCATTGAAGTATAAATGTATGTATGTACAGACCCCGTTGCCGACAAAACAACGATGTACGTCGCCATTGCTGCCGTCATGTCAGATATCATGGCATTCACTTGGCTCTATATAGCTCCCCTGCCCTTGCCACCACCACCACCTTCATCATCGCCACAATGGCTCTCCCCCTCCCATCGGATTGTAATCATCGCCGTCAGTCCGCACAAAAATACGTCGTTCGTTCGTTGGCTGTTTGGTTGGGTTGGATGGTTGCGTTGTTTATTCGATCGACCGAACGAACGAACGACCGTCCATCCAAACTCATTATTTTAGTATACAAGCGGCAGCACCAACAAAAAACAACAATAACGAGAACGAAAATCGACTTGAACAAAACAAAAATACTGAAAATGTTAAAAAAAATAACACCAGCAACAAAAACAACGACGACGACAGCAGTGCACAGCACAATGGATGGAATGAAAAAATAAAACCTGAATGTACACAAACAAAGTATTTCCACATCCAATGTTGCTGACTCGGTACTAAAAACGTCCAACCTAACTGCCAGCCAGCCAGCCAGCCATCTATCTAGCTATCCAACAGTCAGGCAGGCAGGCAAGCAGTATGGAATGTTTGGTTTTATTATAGCTTCTGAACTCATATAACGAGCACAATGAACGACGTCCAATGTACCGAATGAACGACCAAACGAACGAACGAACGAACGAATGAAGGAGAGACTGTGAGCAACAAACAACAGCACACAGTACACGAAGTACAGTCTCAGTGTTAAAAATAAAACATGGATGTATTCAGGGCGGGCCATGCAGAGGGGATCCTCGCACAGCAGAGCGTCGCACCGCACCGCACCGCATTGTATCGCACAAGCTATACAAAATAACAGCAGCGCACACAACAAAGAAAGATGGTGATGATGATGTAGAGTTGCTTTTGAAAATGTTCAGAAAAATAAGAGCCACGGACGGGCGAACGAGCAAAATATTCGAACATACATTGCAAGCGACCATCCACGAACAACGAACGCTCGAATATAACATCAGATGATAATAATGCTGGTTATGCAGTACTGTGTGCAAAGAGGGGCATTATATTCTTCTGGCCATGGCACAGTGGGTTCTAAATGTTGATAGAGACGTTGGTGGAACATCTGTTCTTGAAGAGTTGTATTCTTGGAAATTTGTAAACGAGGGGTTGAAATTGTTCTATTTGACTGAATGACTGACTTTAGGGGAATGAGAAAACTTCCATATCTTCAGAAAAAATACATTGTGAATTATTTTCGAAAATAATTCAAAATTGTATTCTAAACTGAAAGGAATAGTAGAAATTGGTAAATGTTACTAGGCCTCGGGGAACGATTTTGGCGTTCTGGAATACTGTGTTATAAAATTATAACTTTTTATAACAGCGACTGCACATATTTATAGCAGTTTCAAAAATATATTCCATTACTTTGCTACCCGCACACATCCCGCACAGTTTGGTTGTTTCATTGTCTTTCTGGCATTTATGTATGTTTGTAGATACATAGGTGATGTACTGGCGTATGTACGTTCGTCCTCCCTTGTGGCAATGGTGCTTGGCTAGGGTTTTTGTGTTATAAAGCCTTATACCCGACTCGTCGAGTGACGATATTTTACATTTGAGGGGTGGGGGTGAAACAAGGGCGAGTTGGGTGTCGTACACTGGCTATATGTAGAAAGGGAGCAATTCAAGGGGGAAGACTGTGGGTAGGTATATGAATTTGAGGATAAATCGTTAGGAAAAAATGAACGAAGGAGAAGGATGCGGATAACTGGTGGCTGGCTGGCTGACATTTGAGTGGGTGGGTGTTATTTCCGACGACTGGCATGATGGCGATGGTGATGATGATGATGACAATAAGTGGAAGGGAATAATGCGAATCAGCCCAGAGTCAGTCACAGTCACTGAATGGCCGGCAGAACGACAGACTGAACAACAATTCATACAACATTGTGTTATATCTACGTTGTGCACTGCGCAGCTACAGATTTGTGATTTTTTGTCCATTACTTGTAAGCGTTGTTGTCACACCTTATGTCCAATAGTTGCATGAATCAAAGGTCCGAATGAACGACCGACCGACCGAACGACACTTCGACGAGTCGCCGTTTGTTGTAGTTCATCATGTCTATGGGCAAGATATGTAGGTTTTCTTCATACTCGACCATCACATCCAGTGCCACATGCAAAAGCTGCTAGTGGACGGCGGACGATGTACGTATGAAAGGACAAACTACAAACATGACCAAGTCCATAATAAATTGGACACCCAAGTAGGTATTCTACTTTAAATTTGGCAAACATTTAATAGAATTTGCACCACTCGACGACCATTAAAAGAAGGTCAGTCGTATTTGCCCGCATTCTCATTGCAAGCTCATACGTTGGGCGCCACAGAACAGCAAAGCGGAAACAGCTTCCTTTAATGCAACTCAACAGGTTCGTCGTCTTGCGGTTAATTATTCGGCCAACAATTAATGGTCGCAATAACAGCTGATGTTTGTTTTTAAGAATCGCAATAACGAAGCATACGGAAATGTGTTTTTCGCCAAGCAGCCCCTCACACCTCACACCCGTCCTCTCCACTCCACTCCACTCCCAGCAGCTTAAGTCAGTTAAATTTAACACTCCGCTGTCACGAAAATGAAAGGCACATCTTTTCGGTGGTGGGGATGTGGATGTGTGTGTGCTTCCTTTTTGTTATTTGGCATTCAAGAAACGACAGCAACAGAAACAAAATAAAACTTGCGATAAGGACCAAGGACCGACAAATGGTCGGCTATCAGTGGGAGAATGGTGTTAAGAAAAGAAATCAAGAACCCGAAAACAAGTACGTCTCTTTGCCTTGTGCGACGTTCGGCCGGCCTGGCCTTATTAAGTCACTGGAGTGGAACGAAAACGTAGTTTTATGTTTTCTGCCACCATTCATGAATATTTTACGTCATCTCTTCTCCCGTTACCCGAGCGTGGAGGTCTACTCGACCAGAGATTGAATGGCAAGGAATTCTGAAGACGTATGAAGGTAGGCGGCCAAACAGCCTTTGCTTTGCTACAGTTAAATGGGGTTAAAGTTTATCGTTTTAGTTGGCTCACTGGACAATGCTAGAAGAGGGGCGGTGGGGGTGGGGTGTTTGAGTGGGATATTAAGTATCTGGCTTCGGTGTTACGATGATGATGTATCGGCTCCTTGATGGACATGCATATGTAATGCTGCTGCTTTATGCCATTAACTTGGATGGAATCTTTTCACGACCGACTGGCGTGCCGTCTGCAATGCCGTCCTCGTATTTGGCCTGGCGTAATTTTAAGAGCAACAAATTACATTGCTCCGGTTGTGTTAATTGGAGAAGAGCCGAAATCAAACTAAATGAATGAACACCACAGCACAAATTAAACTTTTAAAGGAATTCATTATGGCGAGCTTTTGTTGGTGGTTCTTCTTCGGCGATTCTTTTGCTCAAGACGAGGAGATTTACTGCAAAACATGCCGGTCGGAAAGTGGTGTGCTAGTGACGACGACGACGGCAACGCTGATGATGATGTTGCTGATGCTGATGCGGCGGGTACTTATTGATGCAATTACGAGCGACAATGTTGTTGTTGATGCTGGTGGTGGTGGAGTTTCCACAAGCGAAGGAAATGTGCCATGAAAAGCAAAAGTAAAATAGGAAAACAGCGAACTGTTGCACGAAGATGGCATTGAATGAGCGCAATATTTGGTTATTCTATTGTTGTTGTTGCTGTTTTGCTTGACTAGCTGACTCGACTCTTGCGGATTGGATTGCGGATTGCGTTGTGGTGTAGCTGCAACCAAACCTAACGCCTAGAGGGGTTCTCTCAGCTGGTCTGGCATTACGATAAGTATAACGTAAGACACAACCCTTAAGGTTCAGTGTGTCGGTCGGTCGGTCTGTCTGTCGGTTGGGGGCCATATGCTGTTCCTTTTGTTATGTTGTTGTTGTTATTATTATTGTTCTTGCCAACCGGGAGAAGTGCAGACATGACAAGTGCTAAAAGCATTGCATATACCGACACGGCTTGAAGAGGAGATGTTTGTTTTGGTTTTGTTTCGAACGGAAGGAAGCTAGGAAATGCAACTTGTATGAGTGCGTTGCGTAGAGGTTTGTCTGAGTTTTGTGTGTAGTGGGTGCAAAAGTTTTTAGTTTTCATAAATCTATGCACAATACCCTTCCAATATTTGTTGTGTTAAAAAATGCAGCAGGAGCAGTACGAAGAGCAGGTTGCACAAAAAAAAAAAAACAACAACAACAAAATAAAATATCTATAAATAACGTAGTGTAGCAAATTCTCAACACCACGTGCTACAAAAAAAAAAAAAAAAAATAAAAGCTTAGAGTAAATTTAGTCGTCCTCTCTGCGGTTGTTGCAAGTGTGGGTGGGTGGGTGTTTGTGAGTGTGTGCGCTTGGGGTTACGTGCGTATTTGCATCTATGACCTGCCATCCAATGAGTGCTTTATTCCTTTACATTTGGGGGGATGGATAGCAGCATGAATTTGTGATTTCAGCTAACAGGTAGTTAGTTAGTTGGCCTAATACTTGCTTTTAAAGGACGCAACATGCTGAGTCCCGACAACATAATCAAGTCGCAGGATGTTGGGGTTTTACAAATCATTTCCTTCATTTCCAGATATTCTCCGACTATTTAATAAATCCCTCAAACAATATGTAGGAAAACATGACAAAACAACTCTAGCTGGAATAGCCTTACTTCTGCTGTATATATGTAGAGAATATCTGACATGATTGGAAATCCTATCTAACTATCCATCCTTTTCCCTTTCAAATAGAAAGGGCTTCCATACAATATCATGGTGTACAACAGATCTAAAGTAAAAGCTACGAACAATTTCCTTCTAACAAATCGTCAATAGCTAAAAGTTTGAGAAGCGGAATATGCCCCAGATCCACCAAAGCTCCTGGCTTGTGGGTCGGCATTACAAGCTACTAAATCTAGAGACTTGACTATTCATACATATTACATAAAAAAGGCTTAGGACTACTTTATTTGTCGTCGATGGATTCGGGCTGATCTCTTTCTATGGCATTTGTCATAGTCTTACTTCTAACGAGATTTTCTTTTTGTTGGGAATTTCAGAAATCTTACCTCTGTGCACATTATTTGATTGAAGCGAATAAATAAATCCACAATCGAGTCGTTGAGGCTTTGTTGTGGCGTTGCGAACTGATATTGAGGATCCAAAATAGGAAGATGGTCCACTTTTGTTGGTTTCTTGTGGCTCTGGTTGTTTGGGATAAGTGAGCAATACTTCTTCTTCTGTTTTTCGTCTGGGATTTTGCATATAAGACCGACACCACTCAGTAGCTGTGGCGGCGGCAAGTAGTAACAGCTGGATGACGGCGGGGGGATGACAACAGTAACACCTTAGCAGCAACGATGCATTCTGACATTTTTTCTGCTATCGCTCCTTTATGAATGAAGAACAGTTGACAGTTACGCGTTGCTGTTGATGTTGTTGTGGATGGTTCTTCCGTGATTTGCTGCCGCTGTTGAAGTTGTTGTTGTTGTGGTTTGTAGAATGATAGTAGTATAACGACGATGTACCTTAGAATGTGTTGAAGCAAGCATGAATGTTGTTAGTTCACTTAGTTGGTGTTGATGTTGTTGTTGTTCGGCACATAGGCGCGCATTGATGGTCTACCACCGATCAATGAATGTGGTGGTCGGTTGGCTGTTTCGATTGGATCTTGTGTGTTGTGATTTATAATGTTCTGCTTCTTATTGCTGCTCTTCTTTTTGCATTTGATTCGATTGTGTTGTTTATGGCTGTTGGTTAATTGTTTGTTTTGATTATGTCTTTCTTTCTTTTTTATGCGCGAATGCGAATTTGAATCTCTTAATGGGTAGTGGGGTGGTACTCTCGAAACAGTTGACAACAATAACAAACTACATAAATACTTGACAGGTAGCAGCGGGCGATGTAAACAATTGGATTCGGTTGCACTGGTTAATGATAATGATTATCGCTTGTCTGGTTCTTGGAATTGTCCAAAATTTTCAATCACTGTCTTTCAATGGCAAGTTGCACCTTGGGATGTTTCTCACTTACAAGTTTCACAAATTTGTTCTTTTCTTATTTTTTATTTATCAAAAAATGTTTTCTTTTTTTCTTCTTATTTGTTTGGCTGAATTAAGTGATTCACTTGAATGCGATTCTGTATTTTTTTTGCCGGATTAGAGGAACTGTCGCACTTTTGAAGTTACGAAAAATACGCGCTTTTTGTAAACACAATTTACGTTAAAATTTTCTATTTTAGTCCAGCGGGTTTGCGAGCGAACAAACGAGCGTGTACTTAGTCTACCATAGTAAAATCAGAAATAAGCAGTCGTTGTGAAAGATATGTTCATCAGAGTCTCAAAGCCGCATACAGTCAGTCAGTCAGCCAACCAGCCAGCCCTCTCATCTGCCGCCGTTGCCCTCCCTCGGTTCGTACATCCATCAGATACTTGTGTTCGTTCAGATACTCTGCGCTCTGCCTGCCTTGGATGTGGCTGTGTGTGAGTGTGTGCATATACATCATCACCACAACCACCAACACACAAAGGAAGTTGGATAAGAACCATCGTGTGCGAGTAAAGACGACAGCACGATGGGAGTGAGCGAGCAAGCAATAGCCATTGCCTGGCATACACTCGCTCACTCATCGAGTAAATGGTTTTTGTTTTGTGCCGCTGCTTTCCTACATAATACATGAGAACAGCAACGAAGCAGGCGAGCAAAAAAAAACTAACAAAAACCTTACATAAAGCAAATGCATGAAACAACAACGATGAGAAAGACAAACCAAGAGATACGGATACAGCAACAAAACTCAGTGCTGAGAAAGAAATTCGATTATTTCGATGACGATGAGAAACAAATATACCCACGGAGAGAGAGAGAGAGAGCGAGCGAGCGAGCGACCGAGTCACGGGTTACCAGGCCTTTCAGTGTAATTTAGGTAGAGACAGTGGCGTACATTGTCGAGGATTTTGTTCACTAATGACAGCAATTAAAATGAACCTCGAATCAAGGGAGCTAGACTATTTACTCTTCTCTGGCAAAGCATATGCCTTCATCTAGCAGACTTTTTCTTTAACGATAAAGTCAAAATTCAATAACTGAAAGTTCTTTCTTCCATAGAATCTGATAAACCAAGGACTCAATCAAAATGTGAAATTACAACTTTTGGGTATTTGGAAAGCTATTATATATAACTTCCACAGACTCCATTTACAGTCATTAAAAATAACTTGGTACCTATATTGCTCAATAGTGTTTCAATAACAAATTCCTAGTAAAATAATTTAAGATTTGCTATTATAATTTTGTATTAGTTTCCCTACCACCCCTCATCGCTGGGATGTCAGTCTTTGAATGGATAGGATCTCGCAGATTTCTCTTGCAAATTCCTACAATCACATCGTGACGGCCGTCCAAGATTTTTTATGTTTTCCGTCTTCCTATAAATTAGTATCATTTGGTGGGGTCTACTATGTCATCAGAGTTTATTCCTATAATAGGTTTGTAGATAATCCCTTTTAGGATTTTCATGTGTATCGCTCGAACTTGGAATATTTTACAGCTTAAATAATTTTGAAAAATGTGTCCCTCATCGAGTTGATTCTATCATACGTTCGCATATAAATACATCAGCAAACATAGCAATTTGATTGCATCGTCGTTGAGTGTCCTACCCCGCCAACACTTTTTGCAGTACGTCTCTGGCCAATGGTCGTTAGAGTGTGTGGCAACCCAGAATTGTCTATTTCAGTGAAGTTAGAGGGGAACTATTTGGGTATTTTTACGTGAACGTTGTGTTGTTAGTTTTATTATTTCGATTCCTTGGTGTGCTCATTCGTTTGCTCGCAAAGAGTGGTGGGGGTTTTAATGTCCCAAGTTGGAGGATGATGGGCATGTTCAGTGTGTCGTACCATTGGTAACAGTTTTATGAATTTTTTACGAAATACACTAGACCCATAGAAGGTCGAACCGTAAGTCTACTGTTGACAGTAAACTAAATAGTAGTTTTTCAAATATTGAGTTTCTATGAATTTCAATTCAGAATTAGGGTATATTAAAAGCACACTTATTAGGCAGGTGGGGAAAACGAATTATAGAAAAATTGTGAATGAACATTAAAAACAAAAATAATAATTTTTACGACGTTACTTATTGGTATTCTTAAAGATATGGATATTTCACAAACAACGATATTTTAACAGATTTCCCGTTGTCCATTTTGAGGCTAATGTTTTTATTCGAAATATAAACTTCACATATTTGGGTAAAGGAGATAGGCATTCGGTCAATTTTACACATTTTTATGCTGATCCAATAGTGTCTGACCCGCCCACATTTCCAATACTTATGCCCTTCTGGACTCATATAATGCGAATGGGTACTGCGGTTGGATCTAACTCCAATCCCCATGGTTTTAATGCCTTTCGTATCGTAGTCCTATAGGTTTTCACATAAATGCATGTTGTATGAACATTTCGGTTCCTTTTAATATCCTGCTAAGGATATATATAATTTGATCTGTCCAAACTGCACGATCTCTCTGCACGATAACTTTCGGAAGGAGTATACAATTTTATCCCAACTAAATACATCGTCATATTTTTCAAAGGAAGGTTATCAAGTTAGAGGAAGGGTATTATCTGGTAGCTTCCCAACAAAAATTCAATATTTTGTAACAAAATACATATCTCATATTGAGCGATAGGAGTACCAGATACAGGTAAAAGTTGGCACATTGTAATATTTGAATAACATTTAGGTCAGGTGTAAAAATTGATAAAATTGGATCACTACTTTTTGGGGAAAAGATTTTGATTAATATTATCCATCGGTCCGTGGTGATATCTGCATCAGACTTAGGTCAGAAGCGAACAATAATTAGAAATTATGAATATCGAAGCGTCCAATTTTCTTCAACGTTCGCATATCCCAATGAGATTCCATTAGATCTCGCATGAAGATGTGCCTGTTCTCTCTCTTCTTTATATCTCCTCCACTGAGAGTAAAATTTGTTAGTAATCGTAACTCTTATAAAATGCCAAATTATTCCCCAGTTCTCTCCAAACATCGCACATTGCAATATTTATAGTAACATTAGAAGCGGTGAAAAGTCCACCGAAGAGGCTAAACCAGTGCTGAGGGTATAATCTGTCGAATCACCGACTGATACTTTCTAACTTGTTACAGATACATATATTGTGAATAGGGCTTGGATAGTTCGCATATGCTCAGCTTCAGTTTTCGTACGGAGGGTTTGAATACAGAAACACACACACACAAACAACTACTATTGCTAACCTCTCATGAAAAACATACCGAAACACACACTCATATATTTCCAGCCGCACACGTGTGTGGAATGTTGTCAGTTGGGATTTTTTGTATTTTCCATACAGCCATGGAGTAGAGTACCACCAGTACCGGAGTAGAGCATACAGAGTATACTTGATGGCTGTTTGGTTCGTTTGCTCGTTTATGTCGTCGCATAAAATGCTTTTTGGTGGGTTTTTGTTTTTCGAATCAGCCAGCCAGCCAGCCATCCATCCAGTCGAAGCATACAGCAGCAAGCAAGCAAGCCAGCCAGCCAGGCCGTTTGTTGGTTCGTTCACAAAGACGTTTACGGAACCAAGAGATACTCGGTCTCTGGGTGTTGAGTGGTGTGGTGTGAGGGACAAGGGGGAAACGAATGAACAATGGGGGACGATGAATGGATGGATGGATGGGGGAAAACAACAACAGATAGACAGACGGACGGACGAATGGCTGGATGGATGGATGGATCATACCATTCCACTCATATGAACTGAATGTGAATTTTTGCTTCTGCTGCTGCTTTCTTGTTTTCGGTCGGTATAAAAATGAACAACAAACATCGACCGACTGAATGACTGGATGAAGACAACGGATAAAGTTTCTTTCGGTTCGTTCATCGTTCATATCTTTAAAACGTTCGATGATGAAGTAACCATAAAGACAAGAAGAAAAAAAGACAAAAGTACCTATCTACAGACACACACACACACACATACATCCATACAAACACATAGGAATATCTCTGACGGGTTTTGTATGAAGAATGCCTCTTAGTTATAATGGCCGGCCCTGCCAGGCCAAAGCTAACAAATATGATGATCATCGCACAAGTTTCTGACTTGGCCCGAATGAGTGGCTGGCTGGCCGGCCAAAGAGCCAGCCATTGCCGTTGGACAGCCAGAGTTGAAGGCGACTTGCTGGTGTTTCGAGTGCTATTTTACTTGACTTTATGCTATAGCTATAGTCAGTCAGCCTGCCTGCCAGCCAGCTAGTCATACATTATTGGCAGTTGGTTGCCTGGTAGGTTGGTACATTCATGCAAACTGACAGACTCACAAACTCTGATGTACATTGACAGCAGCCAAAGCACAAACTGATGATTGTCTCTCGGTCCGTCCGTCCATCCGTCTGTCTGACTGACTGACTGCCGATGGATATGACGCGACCAGAGGTAACTTTTGCCTTGAAACATTTTTGTGTTTTTGTTTCTAATTTTTTTTCGTTTTGTTGTGCGCTGTGTGCGCGGCATTAACTCATTTGCGAGAATGGCCTGGCCGACCGCAAATAATTGCAATCTAAGGCAAAAGCTAAACAAAACAAACATCGTCGGCGACACTACAAACGAGTCAGTTTGATGCCGACCGAAGTACCAACTGAGAGCAAGTACAATAATTCTCAATGTCTGCTGCATCAAATCGGGTCGGGTCGATTGATCCACTCGGCTGTTATATCGATCGATAGAGCGATCGATGGGTCGATCGTTGAAAAAATGAATGATTGTTGATTTAGGGGAAGAGGGCTGGGCATGACTGTTGAAATTATTGCACCTCGATCGTATAATCTGTGGTACTTGTGACAAATTTCTCAGATCTTATTGCAGCGCATTTGAATTTGTATCCCGCAATGGTAGCAGTGGTGCTGGAGTTGTTGCCGTCGTCGTCGATGAACTTGGAATTTCGTTGTTCAGCTGGACTTCCTTATCGATCTGTTATTGTTTGGGAGAGAGATTGGCTCGTATCATAACAGTATCTTGCGAAATGTGGTGGTCACCAATACCCTTTGTCATGCTATGTTGTTGTTTAGCTGTTAAATCGCGTTCCATTGTTCTAGACAGTGTTGCTGTGGCATAATTGTTGAAAGGGTTTTGGGTTAACAGTTCACTTAGTTCTTTTTCATTTGTACTTCGGCTGGGTGGCGCTGTTGATGGCTAATGATTAACGGAGGGCTTAAAGAAACGCCAAAAACACCTCAGTGCGAGGTTCACACTCGAGGTCGCAGTCTACACACTTGAGACCATTTCTTTTGGCCAAACAACATTGCATCACACATCCGTATCTATGTGTGTGTGTCCAGATATGTAGGCGAGGCGAGTATTGGTTGATAGTTCCTCTTCACTGTGGCAATTGTTGTTGATG